TCAATAGTGGGCGCTAAAATCACTAGATATGCTTGCACATTGTTTTATTGATCTAAGACAAAAATAAAATTGTGGTTGAACCATCCTATTTGGGCGTCCTGTTCAAACCTTGTTGATGATTTAGTAATTTTTTTTTATCAATTTCTTAAGCTTTACGTTCTATTTTGAGCTAATTTATTATTCAAATCTAAAAAATGTGTCGAAATCACAAAATATTTTTCTTTTGTGCCATCTTTTCCATTTACTTTATTTCGTGTATGTTGTCAAGAACAACTCAATGTCGTAAACAGAACAGTTAGTTATAAAACCACTAAACATGACTAAATATTTCTATTGTACCGAAGGATTTGTAAACACGCATCTAATCGAATCTTTTACTAATCAAAAGCGGATGTTACTTGGAATTTAAACCCACACATTGTTTTCAAGCTGTTACATTATTTGTTTCGATTTTTAATACAGTGAATAAAATTGTTGAAATCAGACGACAAACATACATGGTGTTTGGGTTGAAGTACGCAAATAATAAATTGGTAGTTAGTATTAGGATCATAACATTCAGTTTGGTTAATTGTGACCTAACTAGAAATATGTTTTACATGGAAATCTTTGATTCTGTAATGAGATACCTAACCACAAATTATTTTCTTTTATTACATATTATTATAAGTACATTAGTATAATATATATATTATATTATATTATACTAATTATATTATATGGTACGCTGCAAGGTATGAAATTATCAAGCTGCGTTAATCATTCTATGAAACCCATTATTCACATTATCGTAAGTCCACCTCGCGTGAAAATTATAAACAAGACCAGAGCTGTTATTTTTGATAAGGCAACCGGCAATAAACCTTGTACCTGTTAGATCTTGGTCTCAAAAACAAATTCATACAGAGTTACTAACAAACGTGATCATCCAAATAAATGATCTGTTGTAGAGGTGTCATAGTTAAAAAGCTCAACACCGGAAGAATTTTTTGTTGTACTGGTGACTTATGGTGTGTTCATAATTTCAAACTGACCCAAAAATCTAGTCTCGTAAAAAATAAACAAGTAAAAGTATTCTTGAACGGTAAATAATATGGAAGAGTAGACTAATATAGTGCGTAGTAAAGCAAAAGAAAGTATTATAAATACAAGTATAAGTCTGTAATAAAGCTATGGGAAAAATTAACTAAATGATGACTGGTTACTTGTTTACGGCGTGGAGGAAAAGAATGCTCACACGTACATACAGCCCGATACCTCAGGATCACAATAATTATAATTAATTTCTAAGGCAAGTAGGTAGTACGTAAATACGATAGCCTGACTTGAATAATTTTGGTACCCTGGGCATTAATTCACGGTTTATTTGTGCGCTGTTGGGTATTTAAGTCAGCGGAAGTTTAATCGTGTCCAAAAAAGTAACTTCAGTACGGTGTCGCATAAATATGGGGCGCGGGAGGATGCAAGTTTATTGTTAACAATAGAAGACACTGAAGTGACCAGCTTGAGATTTAACTGTGTATCGCCGACGGAACGTATGTTCAAGCTATATAGGTCTGCTTCTATTTACTAAACGCTATTAGAGAGCATGCGTAAAAGATGTCCATTGAAGAAGCATGAGATTCTTTATAAGTACGCTATCTTTTAAGATGCAAACAACTAAATTATGACAGCAAGAAATTTAAACGTACATTGCACAACAAAATTTTGGCTTTAAACTAAGAGATAATTTATATCGGTGAATTAAAAATATTATGCATGGATAATTGAACACTGAGGAAACTAAAATCGTATTAGAACTATCAGATCATTAAATTTTGTAACCAACCAATGTACATGCCGGTGGCAATGAATTAGACAATATGAAAATGACCACTACAGTTCGTCGAATAATTATAATGAAATTTACTCGTTTTGGGATTGTTTAATTTATTTATAGAAGTATTCTTCACTTAGGCTAAAATACATTTTATACCGATCTTCCATCATGGTGTGATTATACAGCCAAACGTGAAAAAGTGCAAAGTACCTCTTCTTTACACAAATGATTTCATCGTCTGTTTTAGAGTATATAATAGGGTTGAATATATAAAAATGACGAGATGACGGGAAGGATACGTGGGAAGGACTTAAACCGTACATTTAATAAAGGTGTATATAACGTACATACATTCCTTTCCCTAATTAAATGAGTCAATTGTTAGTTTCCTCAGTGCGTACATTTACTGATAGCAGAAAGCGATTTTAGCTTTTACGACCCTAACAGTAAATGCTCTGTAATGTTTCAGTTAATATGAAAGTTACTTCGTTTAGTACAGAGAAAAGCTTTTGCATCATATCGGCCACAGAAAGGTAACTCCGTATTAAATGTTCAGAAATAAGCTAAGATACACAAAATTTTTTGATGCGTGAAACACACATGATATACAGAACACCAAATTCCAGATCATTAGACAACTGTCTCTGAGACCACATATGAACCGAAAAAATCCTTGTGTACCCCTCAGTCGGTCCAATAAATATTGAGCACGAAGGAATTGATGAATACGAAATTTTATGTTTAAATGCGTCGTCTACGGTCCATAAGGAAAACTTAGCTTGATCACACATATATCACACAAGATGCAACAGCTTGCACCAAAGTTCTCTAACTGTTTCAGCCACTGAACCTTTAAAAACTTCTTTAAAGGATTCACTTGTCCATTTCATTTATAAGGGTTCATATTCATTTTATACTATAATCTTGATTGCAAAATTAGTTAATAAGAAATTGGCTTATCTTCTGATTCAGAATTCATTGTACGTACTAATAACAAAACTTTCAAACCCTTGGAATGTTATTTACCCTATGCAGTTGAAATAAATCATTTAGATAAGTGTCATTATTAAGTACTGTATTTGCCAAGGAACCATAAAATAAAAAGATTAGCAAAGCCCTTAGTGAACTCTGAAATACAAGTTAAGAAAATATTAGACTTGCCTACGCATACGTGATGATACTCAAAGATGAAGCATTGAATATGACAAATAGATTACCATATAACAATTTCCCAATTTGCCCGCATCGAAATCTCAAAAATTTGATCGTTCCATATTACTTTGAGGAAATGCACTTCCTAAAAGAATGAACGTGAATAAAACTAAAGATACTTTCCATCTTTTGTTGCTGTTGATTTTGAACACAGTATCTACTGAACTTGGTAGGTACCGAGTAAAATGTTTCTATATATACGAAGCAACTGACCATCCTGGGTCATAAAATATAACCGCTTTGACCTGGTTTTTCTTTACAAGCATTTACTTGTTGGCCATATTGACACATTTCTTTCGAGACTCATTTGCCGAGCCTGTGTCTACTAGAGGTTTTTAAGAGTACATTAAATTCGAACTTCAAATGTGGAATGGCCCGATCTTTAGTTAGAGAATAGTTCTAACTAAACTCGTAGAATTGAAACCCTCTGTACACAGCAACCGTTACTATATGACTAAAATTAACACAACATTGTACAGAATGACATTTATGCCAGATTAGTTAGCACCCACCTGTATATCGGTATCCTTAAGACAACCGTCCAGTTCCCGCTGCATCTAACGCGACAGCAAGCGGTCGCACATCTGTCTCTCAACTATAACACTAACTTACTAAAAACACCACTGTCAGACACCCAAGCCCTATATTATTATGAGGAGGGGTGAGAGAATAAACAACAGCAGTAGTACTGTGTCATCGGCTTGTGTGTCGGCAATCCTTGGTAGATCGCTGTCGTTCGCTTCCTTTCAGCTGTCATTCAGAGTGATTTTTGCTGGTTGTCAAGGGTCCCATTCACAATACGATCAACAGCGCGTGGCGCGAAAATATGAAATATGATATAACAACCTTAGACTCAAGTATCAACGGAGTATATGAATATTAAATACTGGTGAGCTTGTATTCCGGAAAATTCATTAGCTATATAAAACAGGCGAAGTTTAATAACAATGCATCAATTAAAACGCAGTGAATACTGCAATGATGAGTAATTTGACATTTAATTTTTAGATCCAATGAACCTCAAATCTTTCTATTAGCGGTGTACTCGGTAATAAGAACACACCTATCAAAGTATAAACTATGCCGATAAAAAATTGAGAAAGCCCCCCTTTGACAGAAATCATCATATTCTTTATTGTTCTTACTGCACCATTAACGACAGCCGGGTAACTAGTACTAAATATCCATGTACAATGTCAATACAATCGCGTGCGACATACCTCGATTGGCAATTGCTAAATGGCTTCTCATCGACATAATTATCGGTCTGCCAGTGTTAAGCAACTTAGAAATAAAACATTGCTGGTTTTTATAATGCGGCCTATGCATGCAGCCCTTTTGTAAAATCAAGTTATCTATTTTTGTGTCCCTCTGCTTTAACTTTCGTTTATGTACTATTTCTGAAACATAAAACGGAAAATTATATTTTCCTTTCATCTAACTTAATTCGTTATTATTCTTAATTTGTTATTTAATTTTGTTTGTTGTCATTCGCTCAGAGTTAATTCATTATATAGTTTTGTTTATACATCGAATTTAACTCCAAAGCGTTATCATTGTGTGTCTCTGCTGAAGCAAATATGAATATCAGATGAAGAAAAAAATGATATATTAAAATGTCATGGGTTAAGGCAATTTCTTGCAGGACTACGACTATATGACAGCGATATTTCACCACAGGTTACGCTTTTCAAACTTAAAAATTGTAATCAACAGGAACAATTTGAATTTCAAGTCTATAGTTTTAAAGGGCTTACATTATGAGGGCCATTTAAACGTAACTGACATAGACAATTACTGCTGTTTATGCCTATTACTAAATTGGCGTCGGCTGCCATTCTACTGTAGCCTAGACACCTAATACTGGTGAAACATTCAAGTGGTAATCCAGAATAAAGTAATTTAAAGTTTTAAGTAAACCCGCATGTTTTCTTAGAAGCACAGTTTTGAATTAAAGAAAAATTATTGATCGAAATACATCTAACATGCTTTATTAATATTGTTTTTGATGGAATGTATAGTTCGCTGTTACTTATCCATTACTACCTCTAGATACATCGGGCTGGTTTAATAATCCGGCAAATTTTTCAACTGGTCCAAAATAACTACAGCCAACAAAACATTTTTTTCGATCGTCTGTTGATCTGTATATTTGTTATCATGTGTAGTCTCGAAATTCCAGCCAGGCGAAAGGAAGTAGAACCATGCGCATGTACATCACACAGACTGTGCGAAAGCTGTATTAAATAAAAAACGAAGTTAAGATTAGCACATGTCAGTGGGTTTGCCAATTTATTTGAAATAGGAGCTTGATAATAAATTGATAGCACAATATAATAGGTGATTATTATAAGACAGTTTTTCGATTAACGTGGGATATAAAGCGCATTGACTGCATTTTTCACTGAATTACGCAGTACATGAAGTTTCATCGGATGCTGAATGCATTACTAACTCAGGTATACGGTATTCGATTCACTCTACAGTGGCACTAATCCCACCGCGTTAAGCATAACGAAAATGACTTAGAATAAAACGAGATGAATTTGGATGAAGAAACCTGAAAAATTAGCACTATTAAGTACTAGTGAATTCATTTGCAAGGTGCACTAATCAACTAATCAGGTAAACCTCTGCAAGTCTAGTAGGCAAAAATAGTAATCGTTATAATAATAGGGCTATATTGTTTCCTTTAAGAATCTCACCTGTTACATGTAATTTGCCGCTTTTCTAGTGTGTTGTAAAGGTTAAAGGCCGTTTTCACCAATTTCATTACATAAATTAGACAACAAGCCAGTCTATCCAGATGGCTTTGTAATAGCCATTAACAAATATACTTGAAGTGAGCACCTGGAGCTACCTAATACATACATATTAGTTGACAATTGTAATTTTATTTCGCCGCATATGTTCGCGATATATAACCTAGATTTCATCCGGTTATCGGATTTACGAGTGGCTTCTCTTCATTGCTGTAAACCATCTATTGTGTCACGCTGTACCTAGCTCCGTTTTGTTTGGTACCGTTATGGTTTTTGAGAACTGACTGCTCCAGCCATTACTGGTTCATTGCATCCTGGGTAGTTGTAACTTTTAATCAATGTACCTAGGGATTTTTTAGCCTCAACTGTTCTCTTTCGTTAATCCTTCATTTTGTGGTGTTTAGGGCCCGCCTTCTTCATCGGGATTACATAAGCCTGCATGATGAATCAAAGTAGCTTGGTCGGTGAACGCTTTACTGCATAAAGGACAGCAAAAGTCAGCTGTAGTAAATGTCCGACTTGGCTGCTGAGGAATGCTTATCTGTAAGTAATAAAAATTAACATTTTGCACTTGGGTTGAACACCCTTAGTTATCATATAAATTCGACAAAAATCTTAGTATTGGTGATAAATATATACACTTATATACGAATGTAAGTGTATAAGACAAGCATCCAATCTGCATTCGGTTCAACCGCGTCTACGTAAACAATAATAAGCTAATTGACGCGTGCTCATCGAAGCGCTAAATTTGTTTAATTACGAAATTCAGAATACACTTTGTGTATACACATATAGAAGCAAACCAAAAATACTTGTAATTCAAGCTAATAAATAATGTAGTCAGTATGGTTATTTAGGAATGAACACGAACCAATTTATCGGTCATGAGTTGCATGTTCTGAGCTCGAAGATTACTAATCTCCTGTTGCTGAGAACGCACGGTCTCTTCAAGGCGAAGTCGTTCGGCATGCATTAGCTCCACGGCCCTTTGGTCAATCTAGTCAAGGTATAGTAAAATCGAAAACAGTATGTGTTTACAAAATACGTTTAATAATAGTTTGATAAATATAAATAATCGCACTCTTATTTTTTATATATTGATAACTAAATTCATTATTCTTTCTGGACAAGCCTACCATAATATGTCCACAGTGAGCAGTCGGCGACATGTTGCTATGTATAGCAAGAGATAGGTCCCAAGTCAGACGCGAAATTTTTATAACAAAAATGCATATTGGGAGTTCAAGTGCTCCAGAAGTCATTAACAAAAGCGGACCTCGTGTGGAATCTGGGTAGAAGGTATTATCAAATTTACTTTTCACCCAACTGTGAATAGTTTTTGTAACAGCGGCTTGTACAAAGGCTTCTTGTAACCAAAGTTAAAAAATCTCAACTAGGATATAGTTTTAACGAAACTGCAATAAAAGCAGTGCAGTTAGTGGAAAGGAATACAGGATCCATCGTGGAGCATTCTGTTCATGCAAGCTAACGCCTTCGAGCTTCGTTTCTTAAAGTTTTTAAAAAATGTGGGCAGCAGATTTGGTCCGAAGTTAAGAATCGTAAAATATAGTGATATACTCGTTGTTTAAAAGACAAAACTGAAAGGTTTTTTAATCATACATCTCTTGCTGTTTTAATTTTCAAAGAAGGTTCCGGCACGTTTATGACAGATTATTACATTAGACATTAAGTGTTGTATTATAGTTTGTAATTTACGGTCCTAATCTCATATATCATTGACCAAGTGATGGCTGTTTTTGTTATGGTTAGAATGCAGTGATTAACAGAAAAAGAGGAGAGGTTGCTTATAGGTAAAAAAAAAATGTTTCCATTTCTGAAACGCCTGACTATCAGATATGTACCAACCTGATTGCTCTCTGCGCTCTCTGCGCCGATAATCACAGGTTGGTCTTGCTCGAAAGCCTGCCAGGTCTGTAGTAACTCTTTATAGTCGTTTTCCCACTTAAGTCGTATAATGTGTTCTTTACGCCACTCTTCTTTAAATGCTTCGATCTGAGAAGCTTGGTCATTCTGTAGAAGTTTAAAGGCGGCTTCACGTTGCTTGAGCACGTTCAATTCGCTAAAAAAAAAGACAATAAAGCAGTCGATGTTCGTATTACGGTGATGTTACCCAAAAACAGGTTGGTTAACGTTTATTGTATCACTTTGTTGTCTAACTAAAAAGGAGACGTTTCATAGGTTGGGTTAATAATGAAACTAACAATTACTCAAGTTCTTTAGTGAATTGGCGTGTGAATAATTAAGGGGAACTTAATCGTACAAATATTGACGATCTTGAAAAGCCAACATGAAGCAACGATATACAGGTCACCTGTATGAGCTGTAAACGTAAATAATGGTTGTCGGAGAATATCGACGAGAAAAGCAAAAAAATGAATAACCTACCTGACGTAGGCATTAACCTGCTCACAAGCTGCTCTCAGAGCATCTCGCTCGTCTCGGAGACTTTGCGACTCAGCTCTTAATGCTTTAGCTTCACTGTTTGCCTGCAATAGATTTAAAATAGTGAAGGAACTTCAAGAATATCTTTTGTACACTCAAGTTGAGTGTACATGTGGACAGACATGTCATTTAATTAATAGTTATTAAAGTTCAGGAGGCAGTACAGGGTGGGGTATCTAAACCGAGTTAAAATCTGGAGACTGGTTTGTCGTGATGGACATGCTAGTCCTAGCACCAGATGAAAACCAGTTCCTTCCAGATCAAAGCAACAAACTTCTGATAGCGAAAAACAGTATACCATTTTTTTTTCATTTGAGTGACGATCAAGGATTATCCGATCTCTTTAAGCTAAGTGGAAGGGAAAAAGAAAACATCCTGCTCGAAATTATCAGTATACGTTATCACCCGTTTTCATGCACTTTCGAAAAAATCCGAAAAGAATTTCCATAAACTAAATGATTATCAATGGAGTCTAAAAGGCCCAAAATAATCAGAATGCTTTAAAAAACCACTTTTAATGGATTCCTAAGACAGAAATTAACGACCATTTGAGAGGAGAGAAGATCCACTGCCAATTGAATAGTTTAGTCAAACGCAAACGATTTTTGGCTAGTTGATATTAAAAATGCTCACGGAAATGAAAAAGGAGTGCTTGAAAAATGGCTATGACTTAGAAATATCTGATTTTGGCCAGATCCAATCTTTAAAAATCTTTCAGGATAAAGGAAAGTTCCCACTTTAGATGCCCTACTTAGAAGAATCTCGACAATTAATAAAATTTTTGTGTTGTGTATAAACTTCCTAGCAATCTGTAAATGCACATTAAGTTCACTGAAAAAATAGTCTTTTTAACAATTCGAACGGTAAAATAAATAATATCTGCGTCGCAGGCCATCATACGAAATGTACCTTGATTGAAATATTAGCTAGCTATCTCGAATACAGTAGTCAATAATCGGATTTCGTAAATATGATTAAATAAATAAATACTCATTACGTACTCACGTAAATACTCATTATATAACACTTTCGCTTCCTACGTGTCCTTGATAGTTCCGTGTTAGCCTCTAGGCTTAGTTATTGTATGTAGACTTCTGAATGAATGACGGCGTATTAACAACAAGCTAAGCAAGTCTTCTAATTTGCCAAATTCTCTTTTAAGTGGGAACCCTATTAACCTAGTCGTTTAAACTTTAAGTCTAGATTTATTTAATCACATATATAGCATGTTAGAGTCGGTGGTGAAAACACTTTCCCCTAACACCTAACGGAATAACATAGCTAGCTGTAAGCGTGAATTTTAGTTTACAATTCAGTAACTGCAGCAAACGAGGTTTTACGCATTTTTAGGGAAACTCCTTGGCCAACTTCAGTTCTTTAACTGGAGGGTATTCTACGATTTCAGAAGAAACTGCAATTGTAAAACTAATAGCCAACCGTAAAAGCTCAGCCATTTGTGATGCGGTTTACTCGTTTTCTTCTAGTTTAATGCTACATGTCATAATCGGTGAATCTCTCCTCCTAAATTCTTGTTGCTCTTTAGTAACAAAATTCGGGTTTTCATATATCGTACCTAGTCGACACGTTGGAAGCGATGACAGAAATTCGTATAGAATATTTAAGAACGCTAAAAGTTTCTCTCTTCTTGTTTGGGTTAAGCGCTAAGAGAGTTGCAGAAATTCTTCTAGAATATGGATTTCAAATATACTAGTTGCGAACGCGCCTCATGCCTTCGAAATACATACTCTTTGACTAATTTATTTAGTCACTCATTCATTAACTCACATCCCATCTTTTCAAAAAAGTAACGATTTGATCAATGTAATAGTTTTGGACTTGACTGGTTGGTCGAGACGGCAATCTAGATCAATTGTGGAAGCAGTGGAAGAGCCAAGACTTATAAAACCAATTTGTACAATTTTGCACCGATTTGGCAGTAAAATCTGCATTACATTGGTAAAGGCGTAATACTACAGAAGTTAACGTACTAGTTATTGTAACGGAAATTGGAACCAAACTGCTAACTATGGCTATCTAATCCGTGTTTTCTTACTAGTTCCACGAACATAATTTTTGGAACTAACAATGACTCAGGTCTATGGCTTATGACCCAACAACCTGAAAACACGCAATCTAATACAAGGTTTGAAATTGGAATAATTCACATAATGAATATTAGATATTGCAAATAACTAAATGATTCATTTATTACAGAAGCAATAAATACTTGTTGTTTGTTTCACTATGATAACAAATAAACTACTATTTATTCGGGCATTTCATCAAAGTGGTAAATATACCACGAGATAAAAAGAACATAACAAAATAAGGCTTCCTAATATAGGAAGCCTTTACTAAATTCCTTTACTAAATAATAAATATAAAAAAAATCAAAGCTTTCGTGATTAATGCAATGAAGCTTGTAATTAACTAGCCTAACATAGCACACTTATAGAAAATAAATTTCGTGGTGACAATACAATGTGTAATTGTAGTGTTATGTTTATATAAATCTTCGCTTTCCATAACTAGCTCCCGTTAGCATTTGACACTAATATAAATTAATTAAATAATACAACGTCGCAAAAGCGTTTAACGGTAGAAACTTTTCAAGTGATAATTACATTTGAAAGCTTGAGGATGTCTATTTCGCGTTCTGCTGCAGCCTTTAACAAAGCTGCTTCAGCGTTTTGTAGAGCGATGCCGTCTCGTCGGCCCTGCTGGACTTCCTTTTCCAGGAAGCATATACGCGCATTCAATTCTTGAATTTTCCTAAGTTTACAAGCATGAGAGTAAGATTTGAACAGCTCTGCAAATTTGACATTAAAAAACTTATATGAATTACAATGAATTGCAACTTACCAGAAAATAATTTTTTTACATGGGCAAGCAAAAACTATCTTAGTACCTCTCTCGCTGTGCATCGAAAGCAGCCTTTTTCAATGACATCTGCTTCAGGAGATCGTCGTACTCGCTCTGTAACTTCTCAACGCACCTGCAGTATATTGACACAATGAGGTAAAGTCTTCCATTGTCGAGTTATAATACGAACACTTGAAACAGAAAAAGGCTACATGTGGTTCCACACGTGGTCCCTTTCTGCTTACGTAGGAGTACGTTAACTAAGTAACTCGTTTTAAGTTGGTTTTAATATTTTCTGCAAAAGAAGCAATTTCTATTAATAATTTTCACAACCAGTACATCATACGTAATCATACATTAAATTTTTTTCTTATTTTTTTTTTATTTAATTTATTAGGCATGAAACGAATACGAACAATCAGTGATGGGGTACCATTTATTCGAAATTACAAAGACATTCTATTAAACGTGACCTACATGTTATATCCGCATATGAATAGTATCCGGATATGCAAATTTGTTAACCTAGCAACTTACTTCCAGCATCACATTTATTTTTTTATATAATAATTGTTCATATTTAGCTTTTAGGCCCGATGTTGATGAAGGCATTTTATATTGAAGACGGTATACTGGATCTTCCAGGACCTTCTTGGGCCGTTGTATAGAAAAGTTTAAAACAAACGTCTCCTTTATCTATTGCCTCATGTCTTGTGCACTTATGGAGAGTCCGTACGGAAAAGGTTGTTACTACAGTAAAAAGGAATTCTTCGGAAATCTGAAATCTCGATTCTTCACCTGTCGCACAGTATTACCTGGCCAAAGAAATTCCATATAAGATTTTGTCACAAAGGATACCTGTCTTTTGCCATATAAGATTTCTTCAGCCGAAGAGCTCAAGTTTACCCATTATGTGAAGTGTTATACGCTTGCTGCATGAAACAAAAGGCAGCCGCGACATGGTAGACGCAATAATACAAAATAATTTTTCTACAGGCACACATCAAAACAATTTTTGTGATCAAAGCTAGATAGGTACAATGTAAATAAGATGTGGTTTTATCAAGACAAGGCCACCAACAATTGGTACTGAAAGAAGTTTGGCGAACGCGCGATTTTCCCTGGAATACCCTGTGCGTAAAATTTAACATTAATACATTTTCACTTGTGAAACTTTTGAAAATTAAATTCTATTCATTTTTAAACATTTTTGGAAAGGCAGATTGCCCTGAATAACTTTCTCAGCCACTTTTTTCTCACCAAACTTTTTTGCATATGTATTACATATTACCTTCATTGTTTTAAACTATTATAAAGGATTAAACCTAGTTTTCCCATTTCAAACATCTCATCCCTCATTATTTTTTTGTTATTCAATATCAAGAGTTATCACGTTGATAGTGTCATGGTGTGGCTACCGTAATATGGATTAAATAAAGACACGACTATGGCTGTATAAATGCAAAGTAAGTGGTTGGGAAGCGCTCGTCCCTGGCGGCAACAACAAAGCTAAATCCGTACGATTTATTTTGGCAGCTGGCGATATGGACAAGTTGGAGAGGCTAGTCGTCGAGTGAACTGGGTAATTGGACGCCGTCACCGAGATTGGCTTTCGACGAAACCTGATTAAAGAAGAATTTGAGCGATTGTTTGTAAATCGCGGGTGGTCTGCCGATCAGATAATACCAAGAGCATGACCGTGATTGCAGGCCTGTCTCGACTGGAATTCGGTTTGCGTGTATGGAAGACAACTACATGGGGCGATTTCAAAGAGGAGCCCTGCGAGAGTTTCCCCTTAAAATAAGCCGGGTCGCTTCAGTGGTTTTTTCAGCTGTTATGCAGTAAGGATGAGCAGATGTTTGAATGGTTTGTGTTTACTAAAAGAGCATTGCTGGGTAAGGTGGGTTCAAACTCATGTATAGCGTGCTCCTGGTTAACGTTCCGAGAACCACCAAATCGAAAGTGTTTGCAAACTTCATTGAAGCAACTAAAGTAAGTCCTTACACTGAGTTAGTTCGATACGGCCTGAGATTAAACGTCGAATAAACCCGACACCCGGTCCCGGAGGCGCACCTACTTAATAAAGTATACTGGTTGCTGTTCCGAGAGAACTGCGGTTCTACGGCAACACGGCAAAAAGGAGTAACAGGTTTCAACTGTGTTGACACTGTGAAGTTCGGAGATCGTAGTGTGGATCAACCATTAAAAATATTTTTCTCAGTGCCTTAACAGGGCCCATCGATTAGACTTGCGTCTAGGTGTCTAGGTGTTGCAGGGAGGGTAGACAGCCAGTAGGCTTACCTCTGATGACACGTTATGTCGAACAGATATTAGGAAATAGCAACCAGCACTACCAAAATCAACCGAGGTTTTGGTATTTATAACTTGTCACCGGGGTCTCCCAGATGTAAATAAAACCGTACGCCAAGTTATGTTACGCTGTTTCCCGAACATGGAAATACTGATCAGAAAATGTGCATACATACGTGTGTTACATATTCTGGTTTACAAGGTAAAGCCAAGAAAGTACGTGCCTTGTTCGTCCATTGGCAAAGAACCCACAAGTTTTATGCTGTAAATGATTGAGCATCTGTATTGTTGAATGGTACGAAATTCCATGATCACTACACCTATTGTCCCGATAGCGCGATGTGCTTCAGGACAACTGGAGAGTTCGTTGTAAGAGTTTGTTGCCATGCGCTTGTGCAAGATACCCACTAGTCCACTTTGGAAAAAATGGTATCCTGCCCAGGCATGCACCCATAAAATTCCCTGAATGTATCATCCAGCGCACGTAAACTCAGTAAGTGCTAGAAAATACCGGCCGCGGGATAAGGACATTCCGCCGATTAAGTGTGACCGAATTGTAATGGTGTAAACATACAATTTCTTGTATAAGTACATGTTTTTATAAGCCCAGAGCCATGGTTCTGCGCATTGGATCCTATGAAAGAACTTCAAAGCTAAGCCAATCCGCTTCAATAACTAAGTGTTTTTTCCACACAAATACGCCAGACGTAAGGTTCTTTCCCTAATATACAAGGCGTATCTATCTACAAACTCAACTGAATAGTCGTTACGGTAAAGCTAGTGTTGTTCAGACTTCTTTCATTTTATGTAGCCTTAATACGAATGTCTTAAACAAGATAATTTTAGAGCTACTGTTCTTTTAAGCGTCTATACTCGCGTAGATTTCTGTATCATGAGCCCTCTTCTCATTATTATTAGGTTATTCATTAGGCATACGGTTTGTATGCTGTATGCAAAAAGTCTTTTCAGTTTGTCTGAAGTTCAGCAGGTCGAAATATTCGGAAAACTATAGTATTACATGACCCATCACTAGCAGTTCGAAATTCGGTAAATATATACATCAATGCTTTGGTCATCTACGGCTATAAGTTGATTGAGTGTTATTAGAGAATAAGTTCAGAGGTAATAATATCATTTAGCACTGAAAATCAAGGCTCAGAATAACCTTATGTTCGTCGAAAGTGAGAAGGCTGGTAGAGTCCATCGAGACACGGTGAGTACACTGAACAAATAACGATTCATCACTAAGGCACGCATCTTTAAAACGGAAATTGGGAAATTGAAGACCGCAGAGGCTGGGACTTCATCTCAACATTTCAAACAAAATACGAGTCGTTGTAATCATAGAAGCTTTTGAGAAAAATTGAGCACAGCCAATGCGGTTTATATTGGCTTAATATGGAATATTTCGAAGCATTGTCGAATCCAAGGACGCTTTTAGCCTTCATTTCAAGTCCGTGTGATTTCGAAAGGGTAGTAGAAAAGGGTAATAGATGGCATAGTGTATCCTGTCGCCAGGTCTTTCAAATAAGCTATCCATAACGAGTATAGCTAATTTAAATTACAAGCGCACAGCAGTTAATACGCTCCTAGAGCGCTGGCTTCAAGGTGTGAACAATGGAAAATATTCACCTAACGTATACCAAAATATTGCTGCGTCTCCTAATATGCTTAAAGGTTATATAACTTTTTTTTATATAACTTTTTCTTTATATAATTTCGGAAAAGCTGATACACTATTGTTTGTTTATTTTTATGCCATTTTGTTTATTTATCTCTAGCGTACTTTCTTGATCCTTTTTCAATCTTTCCTTTTTCATTATACTCCATCACTATAATAGCTTTAATAATACTACCGCGCTACTACAATAGGATAGTTGTAGAACCGCGAACATTTGTTGAAAATAATTTGGTATCTTAGCTAACATATGTATTTCTTTTTCTCATTTAACTAAAAAGTTCTTAATTGGGTATCTAAGAGAATGGTACCAAGGCTAGCCAAGTTTGTACAACCCTTGTCAATTTATTTTTACGAAAAATATGTACTTACGATTCTTTATCGGTAATAGATGCTGCCAACTGAGCACGAAGTTCGGTAAGCTCTCTGAAATATTAATGTGAAGACATATTTTCCATTGAGCATATATGAACATAACAAACCAATCACGTACTAAACTTGGCCAATACTCGAAGTAATTATAATAATTTCACGTTGATACTGGTAATATAACAAGGGTGTCCACAATTTGTGCTATAAGAAACGCAGTGCAGAACGTGAACCATCTAAAATACCTTAAAAAATGAATATCAATCTGTTTTGTTGTATTGACGTATATATTGACAGCCGATGGCTACCATTAGATCGTTCAGTATGAAACGTTACATAGTAAATTCTAACTTTCTTCACATACTTAGCTCTTTTATATTCAATTACAGTACGCGCCATTAATATCTATGACCTTCTGCCATTCAGATGGTAGCCTGTCTCGCTCCCGCAGAGGTCTTGGGTACGAGTCTATGAAGTCTCGAATGTCAGTTTCCACATCGTTTTGAGATAAGCATATTTTCCTTATTAAGTAGTTATCAAGACTTTAAAAAATTTCAATCTGAGAGTGTAATGTCTGGCTAGTATTATGAATGATAGAAAACCTCTAACAGTAGCTCCCGCATTTTTACGATCATAACATCTTCGGTATGAGGTAATCATCTTCTGCTCATGACTGCCTAAAACGGAGTTTTTTGACCGAATACAGAGTTCACGCGGCGAGCTTTTTCTGCCGCTGTAATTCCAAGATAGAACTCATATTCGCAAGCTATTCGAATTTTCTGATTTTCTATAACTTATACAACAGGCCTGCTAAAAGTGACGATATTTAAATGAACAGTCTTAGATTCCAAAAAATTCAAATACACCTTAAGTGGAAAAAGTCTTGCAAAATGTCACATTATTATAAAGTAGCATCATATGAGATTAATATTTGTCACATTTCACATTGAATGAACTTAATATAATCGGAAGAACGCAGCAAATAATGCGGCGTCTCTGTGACATCAAAGATATGATTAAACCTGATGTGATGGTGTACTTCAAGATTCAACTTTGACCACGAAACAATAATAAGCGAAGCCAAAATAAATTAGCAGAAATTTACTTTAATTGTGTACTTCAAGCTAATGGAGAGCCACTGTAATAATCTATAAATACATTGTAGCCGTAATAGACATGATAATAGCCAAGAATAACCATAAAGATGCATTTCTTCGTATAAAAATTGTAGATGTCTACTCCGCAAATCTTCTAGCCTACTTCCTATCAGTCGTAGAAGTTTTGCTACAGTCTGCAAGTTTGCTACGTTATAAATTATTACATTTTATCATTAAAACTATTATTATAGTACCAACTTACGATTCTTTTTCAGAAATGAGGGCCGTGAGTTGTGCATACCGGGACGTCATTTCTCTAAAAATCGACATTGAGAAACAGTAGTTATCGGGTATCAAGTTACAGCATTAGTAAAAGTGTCATGACATTAAGTAAACGACCGCCATTAAAGACTGTCTCACACATATTATAATTGAAAGACCCTACATTATTTATTAACTTTCGCGGGAGACACGAAAGACGCTTGCAGTTGATTTCATCACCCAAACTTACTTTGCTTCAATTTATAAAAATTAGATTTAATTGGTACAAACCCAAGGTTACAAAAATCTTTAGTCTGCTTTTCATATTGCGTTTTCTCTAAAACTTGCCCGCTTACCAGTTTGTTATCAAAGAGGTCAATGTATGAAACTGATGACAAATCGCTTAAAAAAAGTGAGAACTCTATTTGCCAAATTGACACTTCGGCGCGGGTATCTCTGTAAGCTAAAAGTGAATAGACAACGTGATACGAAGATGTATCTTTAGTCAAGGGAGATCTCTGAAGACATATACAGGAGTAAAAATTAATATTATGATGCAAAAGTGATGTCAACAGACTTGGAGCAAAATTTCGACGATACTTATTGTTTTGCCACTGTGTAGGTTGTCATTAAGGAGCATTAAAAATTTATCTATCATTCGATAGTCAGATTCTTTATGCATTTCACTTATTGACGTTAGCAGAATACACTTTAAGATACTAAGAAGCACCGTATGTTAGATTTTTCCCGTATACGCATTTTTCTATGTCTAATAAATTTTTTAGGGTATAGATAGCATATGCCACACAATCTTAAACTGAAACATTTTTTTAATAGTGGGATAAGGGACAATTGTGTTACAGATGGGGTTCGACGCCCGGGCGACCTTAAAAATAAATAAATGTATAAAAAAAGCTGTACATATTATTATTATTATTATTCTTGAGTTTGTCATTTTTTCACGTGTTTATAATTGTCAACACTAATTTAGAGTTTTTCTAATGTGCACTGATGTGAAAAATGAATTACAGGAATATTGGAAAACGGAAATATGAATCAGAGCTGTCGGAAAGACCTTGTAGACCTTTAGAAAAATGCCATCAGGAATAACGTTGTACTTAAGGGGAACATCCTTATGTCAATTTCAATTTATTTAGCCGTAATGCGGATAAAAAGCAGTATCAAAGTCCAACTCAGTATCCTCTACCCTTTGAATTAATTCTATTTTTAAATCCTAAAACAAATCCGTAAACAGATTTTTCGGCACTGTAAGCCACTTTTGCTCATCCCAATTCAATCTATTAGTTTTTTGCATATATTAAAAGCTTTCTTAATGTTATAAGACAAAGGTGCCAATTCCTTATTTTAAACTTTCAGTCTAGTTCTTACGCTCAAACGGGTCTAATATTATCAACTTACATTACTTAGTTAACTTAGATCAGCAACACAATTAAGATATTAATATCTCAGTAGTATCTCTAGTTACAAAATGCTTCTTTTTTTGGATATATATGAAGGCAAGATGATGTAAATATTATCAAGCGTACATTTCATGAGGACGGGTGTTTTGTTCAAAAATGCACTTTATTTTAGGATTTTAAAAACGGGAGGTTAAAACTTATTAACTGCCAAATGCATGCAAAACTAATTGACGTTTTAATTAAATGTCATCTATTAACAATGTACACAGAATAATAAGAATAGAGAAGACAAGACGTCTTTAACAAGATAAAATTGTTAGCTTTGTGCCAAATAGATTCGGATTAGAAGGAATGACTTCTTTATTGCGAGGTATTAGCCAAAAATAAAAAGATATCGTTTTCTGTTTATTGCTAAAGAAACCTAGAATTAAGCGACATTAAAGTCGACAGCGGCGACGTGCGAATACTTTAGGATAACTATGTCATTAAAAGTTGAAATTATGGCGAGAAATTAGGGTTCAAATATTATCCAATATTATAATTATATGACTTTAGCCCGAATATTGTCTGGACAATAGCACTTATGAGTTTTAGTTGTTCTTATCACATGTATCGAAGAATTTCGTAAAAAGCAGGAGAGCAATTGATGGGGTACGATACACGCACCTCTATCCCAAATATGCAACATGCTAAGTACTGACCCATTGTAAGTTGGGAAGCCATAAGTAAGTCTTCCTCAGTATATTAAAAGATTGTCCAACCAAGATCTAGTTTAATTTAAAAATACGGAAGTCTAAATAAATGTCTATTATGTATCAGACGTTTTATTGTAGAAATTAAAATACAATTGAGATCTACTTACTTAACCTCATTGCTTGTTTTTTCAACCTCGACTTTCAGGCTTGCTATTTCCGTTTGGAGTGAAGCAACTACGGGGCTGAAAAGGATGGAAAGATGTTCAATTATGACTACACCTTGGCTATATACATTTCTTCTAATTTCTTAAAAGGAACTTGCATAAACGTTACTTACAATAATATATGTATGTTGTTAAACTTAATTTTATGATAATTCACGGATTCGTCGCTGACAAAAGCAAAAACGAAGTGCTTACCTTTTTCGATAGTTATAGTACATTATATATCATCCGATATAAAATTGAATATGATTAGAATATTCAGATAATTTATTGCTGGATAAATTGTTTGCAATTGTAATTTATAGAATGAATCTGTTTTTAACGACACACTATTTCAGTTTCATTTGAAGCATTTTTATCAACTTGTATAACTAATTCAGTCAAATCAATTATTCACCTGAGCACAATTCAAATACTAGACATACTTTTCTTCTGGGGTATCCCTTTCGTCAGGCTGTTTTGTGATAACATCACGTTCCTTTTTGACCTTCTCCGGTTTGTCTTGGGTTTTTTTGCGCAAAACCTCCCTTTCTGAACCGTATTGCTTGGCGCTCTCTTCAGAGTCAACATAGACATAGGTTAGATCTTCCACCCGTTGGTTTGATTCCTCGAGTTTCTGGTGGCACTCGTCAAGCTGTGATCGCAGTTCGCGCAACTCTTCCTCTAAAGACTTTTTCATTTCGGCTTTTAGAACAAAACAAGATACCAAAGCAAGACGGCACGTTATCACGCTGGTATCGGAGGAATAACCAAATTACAGGGGTTGGCTTTTAAGAACAATACAAACAGCAGCCACAAATGATGCTGTTTTCAGCAACATTTAATAAAATATAGTAATAGGCACGGAAGCTGAAAGCGTAACCAAAAAAGTGCGTTTGGCTTATTAGTTCAGATGGTACTTTTTAGCAGTTACTTACAGAGGCTGAATTTCTCGACGATAGCATCCTCAAGTTTTTTTTGGGTGCTCTCAAGACACGCCCGCAGGGTCGCTTTCTCCTCCTGCATTTTGATCGTAGTCTGACGCGCCTCTTCGATCATAGCTGCATCCCTAATATTATGAAAATAACAAGCAAAGTGCATCACATAAATTGATAAGCATCGACAACATGTAATGAGGGACGCGGTCAGTAGTAAGTGAACTGAGTTAGTACCATGTTAACCATATGGTTGCAGTTGAACATACCGCTTATAGGTTGATCAGTTATCTTCCTGCATGCCCACTTTAAAGTCTTAGATTTCCCTAAGATTTTACTGGTAACACATCCAACTTTTTTCCCTTCGTCCCTTACTCCACTCTCCATGATTATCCTCTTTATGAATCCTTATGGTTTAGTGCTTCAGTCAGTCTAGTACACACTATTGGTCGAGTTCCCGTTTTTGTCCAAGCACCTATTTTAAACCATTTTGTTAGTGTTTCGATCACTAACCTCCTTTATTTTATAACTCTGCCTCGATACACTAAATCGAACGAGAGTCGTAATTTGAAAATCTTTTATCAGTATATATATATATATCTTCTAGAAAATCCTTCCAGATTCTTACACTGTGCCTATTTCAGTTCTTCATTTAATATGCAACATAAGTGAATGTAAAAAAATATGTCATTGAAATACGCCAAAGCATTACATATAAACTATATAAAGATACTACTAGCAGGAGGATAGCTTAGTGACTCTCTAGAATTTTCGCAAACGTTGAGCTCTAAGGAAAAAAGTACGTGTGTGAGCCTGATCCACTGAGAGACACAGACTCATTTTTTAGTGCTGTTAGATTATAGGCCTCCAACCGCTTTTGAGTTTTCAATACAAGCTTTTTCTATCGAAGGAAATTTATAGCCCATCTCATTAGATAGATTTCTCATTTTTATTTAAAAAAAAACTTTCAGTTGGTTTTTCATAACTTGATATTTGAGTTTTCTTTAGTGATTTCAATAATTAGTTATCATATTGTGTTAGTTTCATTAACACCTTCGGTTACTTCATTCATTCACATAGTTGCTGTTAAATTTACCCTAAAACTTCAGTAAATGTCGAAATGTGCAGAAATATTAATATTTATAAAATCCTGCAAACTTTAAGAAAACTTAGAGATTTCAGCTTTTTTGAGAAGATCTTATAATAGTATTTACCTATTCTGTGCGTAAAAAATTAGTCAATAATAGAATAAATAAAACGGAAAAACATTATGATATGAATGACTATTGCTATTGAAAAAGTTGTGCTCTACATAGACTTCGATATTCACCGCTAATATATTTTTGGTAATATAAATGTGAGAGAACATTTATGGCTTAAAAGTAATTCAATGAGGTGGGTTGCAAATTCTTTTTTGGTGCAAGAAAAATATGTGAAAATCTCGAAAACGCTTGCGATTTTCATAAATTATGCTGGCCTTGAGTAGATGAAACAACTTTATAATAAGAAATATTCATGTTTAGGAAAAGCTATTTTTATGTTTTTCCATCCATGTATCATTTTTCCATCCATTTTACGTCACCTTTCATATATTCGCTGCATTTGTTCCCTCCAAACGTTACATCGCTCGAGATGAATTTTCATTGATTGACTGTTGTCCAGTGCGGCCTCTGGAATACAAATGAGAATTTTAGTATTGTCTGTATGATGAATGGATGTTGAGTATGCATTTATTATACAGTAAAACGTGCTTGTGTATAGTACAAATAGATGTTGGAGACTTATCGATGAGAGACAGACTAAATGGTTTATATGCTCACGGGCAGCCGCAAGTGGTAAGCTATCTATATCTATATATGATACGAGGACGCGTTGTATACTTCCACATCCATCTCAACGTCAGAAGATCGTTAGTAAACCTCGACTGGAAGTGTTTCATGGCCTGCAGCTCTAGAAACCTGGGCACAACTACAGTAACCACGAGGTGCACACGGTCGGCCTGATATCTACACAGTCCCCATGTATCTTTCCGGCATATTGGAATATGGTAGCACTTTTTTCATAGAAGACATCTAACTAGACTAGGCTTTTAACAATTTGACGTCTTAAGAAATAGCCGTAAGCTTCTATGCGTAAATAGATACAGTCTTGTAACAAGGTTTCCAACACGAAATACTCAAGATCGTTTCATATCCGTCATCACAGAGGCCAGGTATACAAAATGGTTAAACCGAAAGCACGACGACGCTATGGGTATCTTGCTATAAATAAAAGAAGCGCGCCAAACTGAGGGGGCGTCGTAATCGGGTTACAATGCCGAACAGGATGCCCTGGTAGGCAGCACACTCGGTAAGCTTCGTCAGCCTAATGTTGGCGTGAGTTCAGTTTGTGGTAAAAAACCAAAGGTATTTTTCGTACGAAAAATATCCTTGATTTTTTATCATAATTAGTACGGTAGTGGCAGCGACGTTGACCATGTGCAAATTCGACTCTCATGCATGAACCAACATTTCTATGGTAGTGTCGCAGGCCGTGACCATAACAGCAAGACGCGGGCAATGGCGGTGACCATAGTCATTGCGGCAAACAAAGCGTGTTGCAAATTCCCTGATCCATAAAAGTCCATATCTCTCTAATGTAAAAGACCGAATAATCAACAACTGATGTAAAGCAATATATCCTATGGTCTCTGGATCTTTGGAATTATTTTTCCTAAACTAAGAAGTAACGGTAACTTAGTTTAGTTCACCAGGGCTAACCTGTCGGCGATTGAATGTTGACAATTCAATGCATCTGGATCGATTCTGCCGACATGCTCGTTCAGCTAGTTATTCTCCCTGTCTTCTGCAGGCTTACATAGATTGCCCAGTTTTTCAGATATTGAAGTTCTTAGTCTACAAGATGAAAGCTCTCAGACTCGTCGAACCCAATTCTTCAGGGTGAAAGTCATGCTTCCGCCCCGGATTAAATGATGGAGACCACACAGACTCTCGACTCCAGCATCGATTTGACGATACGCTGGTGGCCTCCCGTAAAGAATTGGAAAATTTTCGGTACTGTGAACCTTACAATGACTCACAGTTTAGTGTAATTATATAACTAACCACTATAGTCCGAAGCAAAGTAGTTGTTCACGTAATGGTGGCATTCGAGGATTAATGAAACAGAGTTTAAAACAAATCTACTCGAGAGCTCCAAAGTCTTGGATACATGGGCAGGTTCGGGCGATTCACTATAATTGGTCGGAAACTAACTTACTGACCGACCTGCTAAAAAGATGTTTGTAGTACTCTATTTATTATATTAATAATTACCAAGCTACAATGTATGGTATATTTTCACCTTTAAAATAAAATCAGCCAATGTTTTTATATGACGAAGTATATATTGGAAAAACGGAGCAATCAGTATATTACTTACTCTTGAGCTGTTCATTTTCCGTGGTCAGTCTTTCTATATCTGCACGTAGTGAGACAGACTGTACAGGTACTACCGCAGAAGCCATCGGTAGGGATTGTAGTTGAACAGCAAGGTTATCAAATGCATCCCCAGCTAAGAATAATGTCATATACAAGAGGATAAACAAGTTTAGTTGAATAAAGTTTTATTTAAAAGATATAAAGAACTATTGATATCCCTTATTATTTTTGTATGTGCACTCAGACGTCACGTGTATTTCAATAGAAGTTCTCATCACACTGTTTAGATAGTGTAACATATTTTTATAACTGTTGTTACAAATAAATGTCACAAATGAGGAAGCAGAAAGAAGAAAGATAATCGAAAGTTCTGAGAACAAATTAGAGAAACTTCGTTTTAAATTTACGGTGGACTAAATCAAAAAAACACTTAGAATGTAGAGAAGGCGAACCCAACGTGATAACCTGTAGATTTATTGGAATCGAAGAAAACGATTAATTTTTTATTTAAACAAAGCACGCAGAAAACCGCTAACCGAAGTAAGAAGTGGAATTTAGTAGCTTCGCTTACTGCAAGACACTAAAAGTTCTAAAGTTCTAGATAAGCTTTGGCTTGGAGAAATAACACAACTGGAAGAGCTAAACTGAAGCGACCCAGTAATTATTTATAACTTAACATGAATAATAATACACAAGTCAGAGAAGATTTCACATAGTACCTTTTCCTTGTAATTAGTGCTCGTAACCACCTAAATGAAAAAACTGGTGCGCGACACTATGTATAACCAAAAGACAAAAGTATTCGAATAGAATAGTAAACTTGAAAACTCTCTTTGAGCGGATCCGAGTACAAATTTGGAGATCAGGTGATCCATAAAATGAAGTAACTGTGTTACATTTAAGCATACTACGAATATTTTGTTAATTGAAACAAATAAAGCAGTATTTAACTGGAGGAGGCAGTTTCCACCACTTGCGACAAACTGATTGCTAGCGGTTCTCTAACTAATTTGTAACTGTGTGTTTACATACACTCGACTTGGGCAACATAAAAACGTAAGCATGAACTATTTATCTTCATTTAATGTTTTAATTTGCTTAGCATCTCAACTTCAGTTAAGCGATTTATTGCATCAAGCTCAAGCTCGTAGACCAACGGTGTGAAACTTAATAAATAAAGTACACTTATAAGAAAAAAGCACTAGACGACCCGCACAGAAATAAGCGAAGATTAATGTTTTCAATACATTGGATAGGTAAGTAAGTAATGGCGGTTCGTTCACTTAACAGAAAACGCAGCTTTCTGCTGGGATTCCAACAGGAAATTAATTTATTATATATTCGGCATCACTCTTCGTGACCTTCTCAGGTCTCTCAATTTATTCGGAGATTCCGCTTCACCACCAATTTTCAGGTTTAGTGTTGAAATCCTTCAGCCAATTTTTGAGACCCTATTTATTGTCAAATATTGTGCTACAAATTTTATTTATTATAGTTTCGATTTACATGCAACCTGAAAGAACTTCATTCACCAATAATCTGTTGGGGTAATCTGTTGGGAAAGGTCTGGAAAATACGGACGTGGAAACTAAAGAATTCTCTTTCAAGCCCTTGCAAGGTGGCTTTTACAATGTTTGCCACGTGCGGCTTAGCATTTTTAAAGAGAAGAATGACCTGACTTGTCTAGCAACCTTATTTACTCGATACAACAGGGCTAAAAGAAGAATCCTGTGACCGTCTTGTTTTTCATCTATTCCACTTCCCTTCTAGTTCCTTTTTACTTGTCTTCTAGATCCATGAAACACAAATCATGGGTTTTTCATCGACTATCCGCTTTCAAAACTGCCTTGAGGCGGTTTTTTCCATGGTCCACCAGGATGGTGTGTACCCATAAATTCTTAGACATCGTAATTAGACTTCACAAACTATCATTCAAGAGTTTTTTAGGTACGTAACGTACATTGTACACGACACAAATATGTTGAGCTGCTTGGATTGTTTTTACACCTCGACAAAAGGTGAATTAAACGGATTACTGAAAATGCATTTTTTTTACTAGAACCATATACATGTATAGCCTGAACTCGAGGCAAGTATAAAGCAAAGCAAATTCACTGAGAAGTGAGTCAAAGCGCACTCCTGCTTTGCTTTGTACGTATTTAAAGAGAGAAAAGTAAACAACAAATAACGTAGAAGAGACAGAGGGAAAAGAAACATTTGGTAAACGCACCATTACTTATGCGTTAACTTAAGAGCTAAAAAAGAATGTAAAAAAATATGTTTCTATGTTGAATTCGACTTACACCTTTTTTGTCCTTAGACATAATTTAATCATGCTTTCCAAAATTGTTCCCATCCACTACTCATGAGTAGCCTAGGATTTCTTAGTTATCTCATGCATGTTACATTTTCTTATTCACCTAAATACATGTTTGATCTATTTACTCGCCTCCTGCAGTATCATGTAATGTATAAGAAATGTACAAAAATGCTGCTGTAATATATTGGTTCAACTATTTGTGTAAGTTCATTGATTAGAAAAAGGGACCTTTGATGATACAAAGATACAAAAAAAAACAAATGAAATTAGAGGAAAAAGCTCGAATGTAGTAGCTTGAATCACGACATCTCGACGCGAAAGCCCAAGGCGCGCTCTGAATAAAAAAAGATAAATTTGAAGGTAAATATGCATTTTCAAATCCACAATTTTAAAAACATGTAGATTTTCATCGACTCCCGGGTAGGTAGTGTATAAATAAGAATCAGTTCAAATATTTTTGCATTACAAGATAAACGTTTTTCCATTGCTGTATTCCTGAACAAATTATACGGAATCGGGCAGTCAACTTCGCCAGGCAAACCCGCCCGTGACATGTTCTCTAATATAAGTTACGGATCGTTGACCTAGTTTTATTATTAAGAAGTCTTTGCGGACCTACCTTTTTTCGTATTTTTATATTCTGTGTGGACTTGAAAAGCGTGAAAAAGTCTGTAGCTTCTAACCTCTTCTATAATCGCCTAGACTTACCTTCAGACAAATAACCTCCACCAGGGCTCTCAGGAAGGACAACGAAGTCTAGAACACTTTCGTGTGCAGAAACCGATGCAGTATCTGGGATAGGCCGTATCTCAGATTTATCTCCTTCTCCAGCCGACAAATTTGACACGATTGATGAAGCCATCTTTACCGATGAATACTCTGCACCACCTTTGAGGCTTAATTGCACCGCCGTTTTATTCGCATAGACATAATAAACAAAATTTAGGGTCAAAAATATGATGCAACCCTAAACGATCTTTTGGGCACAAAGAAGAAATATCAAGAAACAAATATCCGAGGTAAAATAAATCCGGCATTGCCTCAGTTGTTCTTCAGCCACACTTAAAGGTGTTCTGTTTTTACTTAATTTGTTTCTTATTAAGTAGGAGGATTGACCGTTGTGGCACTCTACAAGCTGTTAGGCACTAGTCCGCTAACCTTCGCAGATGAATAAGTCCAAGAAAAACACCGACATATCGTGCGCTTCTGTACCATTTTCTTCATAAGAAGGCATTTAAGGCCAAATGCGGACATGCTACAGACATGTTTCTTCATGCCTTAATTTAAAATAGTGCACATTGCAATAAAATATACAGTGTCTTACTAACTGGATGGATGACTAATTCGTGTCCTCCACATACGACAACACTCACGCACCATACATGCATTTTTTAAAAGCTATTTAACTTACTTTGTATGGAAATACAAAACAGCTCCAGCAATAGTTAGAATAACCCTTTCTGCATTTCGTTAGGGCAAAGTTCGGGCTAAGTTCGTTTGGCCAAGCCCTTTTCTAAACACTTATTATTATTCACCGAAAACCAATGCATTGGAAAGCCGTACTACACTGCTAATAATATTTAAATAGTTAAGTAGTACGAGATGCTACACCAATAAAGGTAGCATAGAAATACATGAACTAACACACCTAATGAATGTATGTGAACACAGCTCTTACTTCAAATCAACGTGACTAACAACGAGGCTTAATACTTTTTATCACTTCGACTAGATTTTTTTTGTTAACAATTTTAATTGTAAACATTTAGCGGGCTAGTAAATGGCGAGCAAGCCTGATGAATGCAGTGCTATAAGGATATCTCAAGGCTACGCATAATTATGTAAAAACGTATTTGTGGTATAAACGGCCAATGATTCACGTTTTTACAATATAAACTATTATTTAAGCAGACACACTCTTTTTAATTGAAATTGACTTGTGACTCTGGAAACGCTGCAAAGATAGTCAATGATTAGGCACCTATGCGACAAGTATCAGAGGGCTAGTTTTTCCCAGCAGTTCCTAACTATTTCTTGCGGTAATAAAAAGAAGTTTCCATATTATTTTATAAACATATGCCCACTTTTCATTACGTATTAGTAGAGCCTTGTTGAAAAATCACGCAACATAAATACATGAACAGGTATTTTTTTTATATAGCTATTTACAAAAAACATACAAACGCTGTTAGGAATCAGTTGTGCAATCGAGGCTGAGTTTTTTTTCGGTACAATCCGTCTCTACCTTTTTTTATCCAGTGCTGTCTCCCAATTTCATTACGTGTTTCAAGAAGACCTAAATTCATATTCAAATGATAAAGTACCTTCAAATGCGTCCGTCTATTCTGTCTTAGTAAATTGTGAGAAACACAACGACTACACTAAAAGCTGCTGCGTCACTCCTGATGTTTCATTACAAATGTTACCCTCACGACCTATGTTTCTTAACGATACAACAGACGAAAACTGACTCGACCAAAGTGCGTCACAAAGTAGTTAATGTAACGGCAGTACCATACACAAATTGCAACATTGTACATCAATCAATGTACAGCAATCCGATTTGGTGACACGTTGCTCGTATTCAGACACGAGAAACGGTCTAAAATCGATGACCTGCCGTTCGTTTATTACCTAATTACTAACCTAAAAAGTCGATCAATGACATATGACTCGACACGCACCGTGAGCACAGATTGTATTTGCAAATACATTATCTCCGGTAAAAGCTCACGCCGGGAAAGGGAAATAAAGCAAAATATGAGGAAAGAACAACAGAGCAATCTCAACCGCGCCGAGAATTGCACACCTTCAGTTAAAAAATAAATCAAGCGGTTTAATTATACCCCGAGGTTGCATTTCGGACATGGCCTGTCTTTATTCACACACAATTATTGTACAACTCTAACACTGTATGATGTTCCTCACGTCTGCAGCCGCATTGACGCCCGTTGATACCGAACACGTTCAACCGAATGTGTCATGGGTTTTAAAGGCATTCGAAGGGTACCACCATTTCGTTATTTTGGCTCCAAAAAGTGCCTTGTGTTGTATGTAGACTTTGAATACCAAGTCTCGATTGCACCATCCGCCTAAAGTACTCACAGCACTTCAAAAAACTTTGGTATGTTTTAGGTGTAAAAAATAGATAAAAAAATTACTAAAATGGCGAATTTTATTGTCCCGTATAAACTAAAATAAAGAATATACTTTAGAGAAACCTTTATTTTTTGCAAAATGCATTTTATAGAAAAGTGTACAGTTTTGAAGTAAATAAAATAAAACATATTTCCGAAAATTAACTTTCAATTTACCGAAGAAATTCGATTCGGAGAATCGTAAATTACGTCATATCACATTCAAAAATACCTAGGATCATTTTCTTCAACAAGAAGCCAGTAACTTTGTTCGAGGAAAAATGAGAGACATATAGTACACGCTAAGTGTGGCTAAATAAAGAAGAAATAATATGTTTTTGTAGATTTTATCACGGATGAATTTTAAAATGCGTTTGAAAGATTGTTAGGACTTATATGATTTTATTATCGTTAACGCTCACTAGCACTTTACGTACATTAAAACTCAGTATTTCTATTTTACGTTGCCGTGAAGTGTATTCCGTAATTAGCGTTTCACATCGGCAATTTTGTAGTCCACTTGAAAAACATAAGCCGGAACACGAGACGTAAGTTATGTAGGAAATTTTTTTAGAAAAAATCTGCGCTGTAGTTTACTATGAAGCGTAGTAAACTGGAACCGTTGAACAGGGAAGAAGAATATATGTAGAATTTTATTACTTTTTAAAAAAAGCGCGGGTTTTCAAAACTGATAGCTCATCCAGCGCTAAGTTTAAAAGCCCTTTGGCTTTTGATGTAGTCTGATTTAATCGGTCGCTCACGTGGAGCAACACTTTACCGTAGGTGGTGAGTAACGCTAAACACAGTTGAGTCAAAAATGGAGTTCTCGGTTCATGCACTGCGACCGAAATTAATTAAATTAATTAGAAGGCCACACTGCTCAGTCCCTTTTTATTCTGAGTTTACCTTTTACAATCGCTTGCGCTCCTTGCTGTACTACGTTCGACGTTGCTTATGTCGCATGACTGATTCTTCTAAGAACTTCTTAGCCTTGTGCTATAATTTTCGGCAGCTTCAACATCTAAAAGATTCAGGAGACCTACGCGTGCCGAATGGTGGAGCATTTATTCGATGGGTTATTATTTACTCGACGTTTTGAGCAGTGGATAAAACCAAGAAACACCACCTGATAGGCTACTGGTTCGTTTCTGTGAATTTGTTATAAATAAAGAACTATTAGGGCACATCTTGAAAAATGCATACGGCGTCACCTTAATTCCAAATGGGAAATCTGACTATGGCATCTAACCTATAGTATTACAATAAAAACGCTTCAAACATAAGCCATATCTGGACAATAAATACTGATTATTTGGTGAACGTGTAAATCCGTTAGTGTGCAAGGGGAGGCCATGAGACATGATACCTCTAATGAAATGGACAGGGATCGAAAGCAAAATTATGCACAAGAATAGAATAGTGTTTCTGTATTAACGTCCATTGCGCAGCTGCTATGTCTGTGTTGTGTATGTACACGAAGGTTTCGTGTAGAAGAATGTAGCCAAACCCCGCCTTATAGATTGGCTTGTAACAACGGAAAGTCAACGAGCTTTTGCAGACTTAGACAGTATAAACAAGTAGGCCGTGCTAGTCTGAACCTACCGGTACGAGAGTTAAAGGACATTCCAAAATCATGTCGGAATTTAATTTATGCTTCAGGCATACGAACCAGTAATCATAAAGTAGTAGGGGATAACACCTGCACTAGACCACCAAAAAGATACCATAAGTTATTGCAGCTATACAATTGCACAATATGATGCTTCGCATTTATGTGCTCCTGTGATCGTTTAGTACATAACGTGTTTTCCTGCTAATATTAGGGACACGTTGTAATGTAAGTCAAACTTGGGCATAAACAGACCTCGTTTTGCGCTAAGAGCTAGCCGTGTGATGGAACGCCTAATGGCAATACTGGACATAAAACTCCAATCAGAGATCCGTTCACCAACGTTGCCGTCTTCGAGTATTGAAGAAAAGCCACTTTTGTCGTAAGTCAGAGTTCAATGCAAGAATGGATCACTGTTCTAGCACTGATCTTCGTCCAAATCATGCGGTACCAATTTGTTTAATCTTTCCACCTTACTGACCGAGATAAGTCACCACGGTATTTTCACATAAATCAAACCTATATGCTAGATTTATGTTTCGAATGTTACGTATCATACCGCCATTAAGTTTTATCTTTCAGCAATAAGCGCAGTGTGCTTAAGTCCGGGTTCAGATTTATACCACCTCACACATACATATCTCTGCTACGCGAATGCGGCACCAAACCTGAATGTCAACACCCGTAAATTTCGGGATAGATCTGCTTCTACCACAATTTTGCACACTTTTACTCACCGTCCCATAAGGTCTTACACGACATTCATTTTTGAGTAAAAATTTATTTTCTGGGATATTTTTGAACTAGCAGCTTGCGGTGCTTTTTATGGAGGATTATTCACCGGATACAATATTTATACGGCGAACTGTCTCTGGCGCCGTAATTCTAAGGTAAAACTCATGTTTGTGAATCACCCGAATTTTCTAGTTTACCATGGCTCATTGCAATTCGCCTGTTAGAGGCCTGGCTGACCATATTTGAGTGAACATTTTCAAATACAAACAAAAAATATAGGTACATCTCGAAAACACAAGAAATGTTTGAAGTGTAAGATCGACTTTTCTTGCATTTCACACTGATAGTTTAGTAACAGTGCTCTGTAGAGACCAAAGAGAACGATGACACGTAGCAACTGTTGTTTATTACTAAGATATGCACAGGTCATAAATTTGAGTCTTTACCGTTGGGTTTATCTCGTCTCAGAGCAAGGTTAGGTATCGCAATTTTTAGTTAAGGTACATATAATGAGCGCATATGAGGCAGTTCAGTTGAGGTGCATTTATATCTGAACTATACGACCTTTGCAATCTATAGAATATCTTTACTATTAAAGAACGTTCTGTGGAATTGCAAGCCATACGTCACGTCCATTATGACACTCTATAATCAGCGTTGCGAAGTTCAGGGCCTAGACTTTTTGTAGCTCCGTTTCATTTCGCAGAGTCAACTGTCAAAAAATACGAACTAAAAACTTGAGACGCTTTTTTTAAATGTGTTTTCTTTGACAACTTATAATGAGACATGTTTAAGAAAACGAATGTGCAAAAGCTTACTTTTAACATGGTCAACCTTTGGTAAAAACTGAATAGAATTGTGCGAAACTTGCACGCGTTTTGCTTATGTCGCTGTATGCATATCAAGACGATCCTGAATATTTTAGTTTGGTGATAAGAAAAACGATGTTACTCGTCAACTCGAAATGTTTTTAATAGTGCTAATAACACTTATTACCAATTACTTTCAGGCACGCCTTCTATCTGTCTTACACACACAGTTGCCACCTTTTTTCGTGTTCACAGACGATAATGCCTAAGAAGAAGACAGGTCAACGCAAAAAGGCTGAAAAGCAAAGATTACGTCAAAAGGAGATCCGAAGCCGAGAAGTTGACTTAGCAGCACATCCTTGTAATGCGAACATGGAGTGTGACCAATGTGGGCGCAAGCAAAAAAATCGTGCATTTTGTTATTTCTGTTCGGCATTGCAACGGTTACCTATATGCGCGAAGTGCGGAAAACAAAAATGTATGCAGAAAACGGGTGATTGTCTTATCAAGCATGCTGGTCAATTTACTACTGGTTTACAGGTCTGTAAATCACATTATAAACGAATGAGATGAAAGGTCTCTTGTATGAGTCGTGTGGCTATTATCGGTCTATAGTTAGAGACTTCCTGAAAATAAACGAATCAATGTTTTAAACGAGTAGCCTTGAGTCTGAGTATTGTATGAATAAATAACACACGCAATAAATCGACTACTTTTATTCTATATTATTATATTTATTTATAGGGATTGTGCTCATAATAATATTCTTCGAGATTTTCTAGAACTCAAATTATAGACCATCTCTGAATTGTTAGTCGTATACAAAACTTGATTTCCCTTGATTTCCCATACGTTATATACGTGTGCACATAGCGCATATTTGTGAATGAGTTTATTCAGGTCGAGAAACTTTACCGAAGCTGCGAACTCATGCATAAGTAAGCAAAACTATTAAATGACAACTCAAAAGTTCAATATAGGTTCATTAGAGGATACAGAGCTAAGTCGATGGTTCAACATTAGACTTCAGCACTTTTATGTGGAAACATGTCTTACAATTAATGGTTTAGCTCGTTTCAATTATAAGGTCAAGCCAGTAGACAGTAATATAGGCTGCAAAAGCTTTTTACGGTCGGTTACCTAATAACAAATGCATGAAGTTTTTAAATTGGTTTTACGCACGACGTGTGTGTGATTTGAGAATTAATACTTAACTAAGTTTAATGTGGTCTTGAAAATAGACTGTCTCAGAATTGTACATCCTTTTTTTTACAGACATTTTTAAATTCTACACATTAAAATCTAATATTAGAATTTACATTTTAGTACATTGTATCGTTTCAACGTACTATCAGAATACATTATGTGTATTGTAATATTATAGCAAAATACCGTCCTTATATATTCTTATATATATATACTTATATATTCTGAAATAAATTTCAGATGGTTGGAGCCATTTGCGACTTTTGCGAAGCCTGGGTTTGTCATGGCCGAAATTGCCTGTCGGCACATGCGTGTACCTGTCCACTTCAGGTAAGAACCATGACAACCTCTGCAATAGAAACAGAGTAATTTTCAGTATGCCATGCAGAACCTATACGTTCGCACGTATTTTCGAAGCTCTCTGCGCAAAGTGTCTTGTCGAATAATGGACATTCTTTTTTTTTCTGAACGTTTTAAGATAACGCAAAATGTGAAACTATATACTTTCTGATTCTTGTTCCCGGGTGTATGTGTTAATATGAGGCGTAGTGTTCATGGCCTTTTGAATAAGCTGAGTGAAGTTCATACGATGTCTCACTCGAGGAGTAAGCCTTTGGCTTTTAAATCATCCTATGTTCATTTTAACTTAGAGAGTGGTCATTCTTTATATATATATATGTATACATATGTATAAACGATAACCCCCATATATATATATATATATATGTATATATATATATATATATATATATATATATATATATATATATATATATAGGTCATCGAAGACATTAGTTTTTTCCCAGCTAGATCGCTTCAAAGTCATACATCAGGCGGTGTTAGACGCATCGGGCTGGCATTGCTGTTATATATTTAATAATAATGGATGTATTAAAATTGCTGGAATGTTTTTATTTAGACTTAAGATACAGCGCTCTGAAGATGAACGAGGGATCTGCAAAAAAATTGCCATATTTTACCATTTTATCACGATAAAAGCACGATTTTCACCCAAGACCGAAGATGGTTTTGTAACTTTCTTTTTGCAATGTAAAAGATGTTCTTCGCTGTGGTCAATTAGTTATAATAAAAAGTTAAATAAATTATTGCGAAAGCTGAGCAAGACCGACGCATGAATAGCCACGATACCACCAAGGAATCAAACATACACAACCAAACAGTTTTACATAGTTTAGGTTATAGTAAACCACTAAAACTTGGCTACAAAAAAAGAGCTCGATCTGTCACACGAATTGACGCAGTAGAATTTACTCTATTGTATTTACATTTCGTAAGCTACACATGAATGCAATAAAATCGAGGCGTTTGTGAGGTTGTTGGTCACAAATGGTGAAAAGTGAAGCACATATGTCAATGCAAAAAGAGAAAGTTTTCACAATCTGTGGCAACGCCCAGACTGATGCCGGATACCACATGCTTGGTAGAATCGGAGGAATAACTATGAATTTCTGCCGCCCGGAAAGACGATTAATTCGGACCTCTTTTGAGAGGATTACAACAGGTCATTGAAAAGAATCAGAAAACAGAAACTACTGAATAGAGGAACCATTATCCTCGGCCATGACAATGCCGAATTACATACAACTTCGGCTAGCCGGCAACAACTGAGAGAACTTAAATAGAAAAATTTTTAATGCATCTACCGTATAGCTCAGATCTAGTACCATCAGACTATCATCTGCGTCTATCTCTGTAGAACTCCCTTAATAGTGTTAATTTAGTTGCAATAGAGGGGTGCAAAAAGTCGCTTGTCATAATTTGTTGCTCATAAACCATAGATGTTCTATAGCGATGGGCTTATGATGTTAGCGAGAAAATATCAGAAGATCATCGATCAAAACAGCACATACTTCTTTTAGCAGTATAATTTTAAAATATCGAAAAAAATGTTTGTTTAAATTTTGGCTTTAGTTTTAGTTTGAAATTTTTTCAGTAACCTATTATAATATGCTTCTTAGGAAGCTGTATGTGTCGAATGTGACCGCGGCGTTTGGGACCATGGAGGTCGAGTTTTTCGTTGTGGGTTCTGTACCTCATTCTTATGTGAAGACGATCAATTCGAACACCAAGCTTCCTGTCAAGTTCTTGAATCGGAGACGACAAAATGTCAATCCTGTAACCGTCACGGAGACCTTTCCTGTTTACGCTGCAAGGTAATACACTACGGCCCATTCTACTAAAGCAATTTAGTTGAGACTGATACGATCCATTTTATCAGATGGCACAATCGTAATTCATACTATTCATACATTTAACATAATTTGTACCTGCATCATCAAAGAATCTGCCATTAGGTCAATAAGTTTTAAACACCAACAGTTGAATGTCATAAAATACAGAATGGGGGTTATGATATTTTTAAATAGTGTTTCATATCTTTATGATTCACTTTTGTTCCCTTTCTTCTATAATTATTTTGTAAGTCATCGACATAACAGAACCCAGTATTAGGTTTGGATCTGTTTTGGAATGGATCTGTTTTGCGTGATCATAACTGTAGAAATTTTTAACTGATAACCGTTTTTCGTTATCCTTCCATCGCAGGTTTGTTTTTGCGATGAACACGTGAAACGAAAAGGTTTCAAATACGACCGAAATCAGCCAGTTCCATGCCCGAAATGCGGTTTCGACACTCAGCCAACAAAGGACCTTTCCGTGTCGACGCGCACCCACTCTTATGGACGTAAGACCTTGGAAAATTATGACAATAACTACAAACAAGGCTACGGGGCCTACTTACCAGGGAGAACTTACGGTGGAGAAGTACAAGAAGATGATGATGAGGACTGGTATAACTTAAATGAAAACGAATCAGAAGATTATGAAGAAGAGGAAGATGATGATGCAGAAAGCGAAGATGAATCAAAAAAAGAGACAGAGACGTAAAAGAATATTACTTGTGCTAATTTACAAGTGTGAAAATGGTTGTTACAAAAGCTCAAAACATAGAGCCTAATAACGAATAAAATTTTGTCATAGGTTGTTTTTTCAATAACTATTTTTCCATTATAGAGACTTACTACTTATCCTAGGTGTAAATCACAATTCGCAAATTAATTTTTGCACTGAAAGTGATAAAAACTTGAGTCTAATAGACACAGAGCTTTGAAAAACAAGATTAACTCTACTATTATTTATCTAAATTATGTAAAAGATAATACATACTTTTCTGCAGCTTTTATTGCCCCTAAAATTATGATTACCGAAAGTTTTCTATGAGGAACTAATATGGTCTGTGGGATCAAATCTAGTGAAACTCAGAACATAAATAATGTTCTAAGCACATTGCGCCATCTGGATAAGTCGTCAGATACTTTCGCTGCTTCCTGATCTTCGCAGGAGGCAGCAAAAGAATCTGATCACTCACTGCCTTTTCTTTAGTAGAAAAGGCATGCAACAATACGGCAGGCACAGGATGGTGAATGATATACTAATCTTAATTCAAGAAAGAGGAAAATTAAAGACATTGAGATTTTTCAAACCATTTTAGAAAGAAGCGTTTAGCGAAATCAAAGCGAAGCAAGGATTTGCATAGTATGATGTGTAAACGGTCTATCCAGCGGTTGCATTGACACGTCCCTATTTCGGCAATCTGTGGTTCCATCTATCATTGCCTGAGAGAAGCCTAACGTTTGCCATTTTATCCTCTGATGCACGATGTGCGTTGCACTATGTTTATGGTAACGTTTGTGCATTTTTTGTCCAAAGAATGCAATTGACGCCAATGAAACAAATCAAAGTTATGAAACTATTTACATCAGATGTTCACCCCCTTGTATGTGGAGAAATCGGCTAAGCATCGCTTTTTGCTTGCCATTCCTAAGTTATACGAAATATTGAAGCGTTCATCGCGACAAGACTACGCGACCACTTATTGCATGTATATTGTTTGAGGTTAGGTAAACCTGTTGCAGTGTGAAACAAATCCAATTCAAAATCACCTGCGTAAGTCGACGCGAGCTATAAATGAAAAGGCATAATAAAAGGTAAAAAGATACGACTCTGAAATCCTGTTTATAGGCGTAGGATTATTTTGTAGCAGATGTACCTATAAACAATTGCGAAATGCGAAGTTTCAGTTTACGCTAACCAAACAAAAAGAAATGTTTTAATCTGCGGTTTTGGGCCTATAGCCTTTACTTGCCTATCTGTAAAAATCTAAGCTAAATTAGCTTAAGCTTTTTAAATTTACCAGTTTCAATGGTGTTATAGTAATGAAAGCCACTATCTCTATCTCGTTTTCGTAACAACCTGTAAACTCTCTAATCGTATAGACCTATCGGAAGATAGGCTGGTTCTAGTCAACCTTGTTCATATGATTATTTCGATATATAATAGTTCCCGAATAATGAAAAAGCTCCAAGGTTCTTAGGCTTTTCCTCTGGACTTGCCAGCAATCATATATTTGGTTGATGTTATCAAAAACAAGCAATTTTTTAAATCATAGAAAGTTCTAAAAATTTGGCGATGTCATTTCCAGTGTAGAGCAATATGGATATTTTTTAATCTCTTACGTTTCTCTCAGGCATGCGTGGGTTCTTTCTTTTAAAGTATTGTTATCTTTAAGTGAGGTTGAAAAAATCTAAAATAAAATGTTGCATTTATAATGCCTGACAATAAAACTGCGATTATATGTAGTCGATTTAATATGTCAACATTAGCAGAGCATTCTGATTCTGTTAAGACATTAGATGCCTTTGCTAACTGGCTTACGTTACATATTAAGGAACCTTCTAATATCTCAGTATATGTAGCCTTTTTTCGTTTTAATTAGAAACTTTTTAAAATTTTTTTATATTTGTATTTATCATTTTAAATATATATAAAGATTCAGCATTTCCGAACGTCTGAACATGCCTTCCATGCCATAGGTTTCGTAAAAAGACGGGGTTTACCTCACTATCTGTATTCTGTCCTCCTACCCAAATCGAATCATGAGATCGTCTACTTTCGTCTCAATATATATATATATATATATTGCTAACAGATACTTCAAGAAGCAATAGCTTCTTCCACTTGCTTAGTTCTTTCAAGAGTTTTAGCCCCAAATGAAATTTTCTTCTGAGAGCGTCTTTATTCTAAAATGTTTCTGCCTATATAACTAGTATTAAAATTGCCTGGTACATTTCCATAATGCACAATTAAATGTGAAACACTGCATATACATCTAAAAAATAGGAGTGTTTACGATAATTCTAAAGAAATTAGAAGGGCATTGTATAAACTATGTAATTTAAATTTCGACTAAATCAGGTTTTATTCAGTGAAACGAAAGTAGTTTCCGAGACACAAAACTTATTTTATCAATTGATTTTGACAACCTAGCTTTTTGTGGATCGGTTGGGATACGAAATACGTAACAGAAAGTATTAATATTTATTCTCTGAATATGCAAAAGATATTTTGGATGTTCGCGGAGACTTTCCAGGTTCTCTTCCTGTTCATCGACTCAGTTCCCTTGCGGAAGTTACGTTTGCACTTTCACTAAAAAGAGGATGAATCTACAGATGCAAGCCTATCATTGATAATTAGGACTTTTATTAATCCTTGATTTATTTAACTATATGCGGTATTGTTATATATGTACGTTTGTACAGTATATCAGTAATATTACTACTTGTTGCTCTTTTACACGACCATTGTTTAATTTTTATATTATATGTTTAAAAAGCATAATGTACTACAATACATGAAAGACCTTTTTTATTCAAGGAATTATTCCCTACAAGTGCTTCAGACAACAGATATGGCAGGGAATAAATTATGCATATTTTCCGCACGCGCTACTTCAAACGTAAAAGCATACGTCCCACTGCGAAAATTATTAACTTTGTTATTAAACCTCTTTTATCTAATTCACATGATCCGAAATATTATTTTGCAAGTCCTATTTCTCCATTAAATTAGATTAGTTACATAGCTAATAAAGTCGAGATTTGAGCAAAGACATGATATATCCTAACTATCCATTCTGTGCGTGTAAAAATCGTAACAAAACCAGCAAATGTCACGCTGCATGATAGGGCTCTGAAATCAATCATTTATTTACACTTCAATTTGATATAGCTGAGCTTGCAAATTTGAGCTCACAAGTATTGCTAGCTGTACCAATAGACACGTAAACCCTAAAATCGTCCGAATAGAGCTTGTAGAAAAGGTTATCGCGTATTATTAATTTGTTGAGTAGCTTCAATACACCTAAAATCTAAAAACTTGTTGTAGTCAATCTGTAAGAAAATCTGTAGGCTTGTTGTAGAAAATAAAAAGACTTCTAAGCTTTAGTGTATGTGCTCAGTGCTACATAATAAATCTAAGAACGGCTTTAACTCCCAAAATTTCTTTTCAAAACCCGTCTCCATCATCAAATAAAAGACTATAGAGCTGCTACAAAATGTTGAAGCAGTTTTTCTTTACATTTAGTAGTAGGCTGCTTGGAGCTTTTTCTCTACATGGACGATTATCGGCGTTATGCGGACGGCACCGAAAATCACTCTGGCCTTCCTTTTTTCATTATTACAGCCAAACTGAAAAAAGATTTTGACTAGAACTTTCCTACGCCTGAATCTAATAGATCCTGCCCGATATTGCCTCAGATTTTCATACCCATCTCCCGACTACTCCCCTTGCTTTATTTTCTCTTTTCTATTTTACCTCTCACTTCGGACCCAGCTCTAATTGCTGTGTGGCAGATGTAAAGCTAATTATAGAGAAGCAATTTTGGCCATCCCTACATATATATTAAGTTATATATATTAAAATTAAAGATATATACTTATGTTTTGGCAGTTGCCTCCTTTTCTATTTGCATACAGCTATATTCTGCTCCATTAGGGTTGCATAGCTGCAGTAACTTGAAGCACAAAGGCCCAAAAACATCCCATCTGTTACTAGCTTGTTACTATGACGTTTTTATTACAAGAATATTTGAACGCCATATGCTTAGCCAGCTTCAACTTCTTGTTGGATCTAGCTCTATTTTCTCTCTTTATTAGCCGGCCATTTGTGTTATGCTCGACGATATTATAACGTACTTTGTCGGTTGCAACAAAGTAGTTCAGGCATTCCTCGAGTGGCCAAGACCTTCAACTGGTTTAGTTACGCAATTTTCATACTACGATTATCCCCCTTTAAATTCTCTGGCGACACACATTCCTTGCTAATGAGCTACTTGCCGACAAAACCTATAAAACTCAGCATCTTGGGCGTTATACAAAATTTTTTACAGCTTCGTATTAAATGTCTACATGTAATCTCCACCTTTTAGGATTCCTTGTCGTCTTTTTCAAATTTTAAAATTTGTTCTGAACTTTTTCTTGGTTCCTTTTACTCCGTGTTGTGTGGTTATTAGGAGGACTGGCTACACTTGGGAAATTACCTAAGTCCTATATTTTTCCTTACGGTTCTTTTGATGCCTCCTAACTCTATGAATTTTGCCACTGACATGAGAACCGTATTTTGCGCTGATCTTCTTTACTGTGAACTCTGTCGGCCCGCCCGTTATACTCTTTTGAACACTGCTCATTCTCCTCACTCCGATCTCTGTTACCAACTGCTGCATCAAAACGCAGACCACCAACTTCCCATAGCCTGGAGCTGTTTCCTTTATTGACTCAAAAAGTCAGATCTCAATTATATTTTCCAGGGTATACTCGTATTTAGTAAATATTTGCATTAAATAATTGTCTACGTATGCTTAAATGGTTGTAATTATAGATTACGCAGTTTTAGAGAAAACTATATTATGCTGTGTCGAAAATCAACGATTAGTTCTTAGAGTTGAGGAAATCCATTGATATTCGTGAATACTCAGAGCAAGGATGCCTTTAACGAATCAACAGTCTGCTAGTGGTGCAATTATTATCAAAGCAGAAATCGGGAAGATGAAGACTTGAAAGCAGGTGGCTACATTTTAAAACCTCAAACAAAAGAACAAGTTTCTGTGAGCACTAGAAAACAGCATGAGCAATGCTATCCTTGTCAGTTCAATACAGGATCCCTCAAAATAACTGTTATCAATATATAAAAATAATACCGAAGATAACGAAATAAAAAATAGGTTTTTACGAACTGGTTTTTCGACAGGAAGACCACATATGTTGTATTTTAAGATTAGTTTGCGGAAGTATTACGTTTAACAAGAATTGCGCGTGGGGGACACCGCCATATAGACGTGAACATGGGTTAATTTGTGCCTACCATCAGCGAAAGAGAATGGTCTAGTGAGAGAACGGTGCTCAACATGATGCAGAGCGGCTCATGAGCGGCTCATATTTGGAATGAATATCAGTGAAATTGATCATTGTCAGATATTGTCTGAAAAGCAAACAGTCAATGCAACCAGATATGGGTGTGTGGTGAAGCAGTCTACAAAGTGTGGTTACTCGGCGATAACGCACGAGCCTATTGCCACGCTTCAATCACGGTATGGAATAAAACTAACAAAAGTAAGCTGTAGTATCAGGGCTTGAGTTCAGTCCTTTCACCACATAGTACTGAGCGTTCCATCTAAAATTAGTGAGAGGCAAGCAGATGCTGGGTGACAAATTAGAATAAGAAAGGACCGCGAAGCTATGCGTGGTGTTGTTGGTTAAATTATACAGGTAATGGTAGAAAATAAATAACTAGTACCAATAATCCAGATAGTGCTTTCCTTTTTGTAGGCTTCAGTACGAGCTATGGCTTCGGTTCCCATATACCTTAGGTTTGTATTATTGCAATCCGGTACTTCAAAGATAGCATGGTGATCAATTCGCTTATACAAGCCATTAGTAATGTGATTGTTATCTAAATCAAAAGTGTACACCTGCTTACAAGCTTCCAGGGCGCTGGCTCCAAAAACTTGTGAGCAAGGACCAGAAGCACATCTATTATATACTAAAATATCGTTGTTCAACGTTATATGGCTTAAAGATTATAATTTTCTGTCCCGCTGAATAGTTTCTAACAACTTGAAATATAAGGGTGCAGTATATGATCTACTTGCTATACTAACGCCTGTTAACGAAATCTGTTTTAAATTGAGAATTCACAGATTCTATGACAAAAAAACGAAATTGTATTAAGCTTCAAATTACTGACTCAAGACTTGACCCTTAGGGCACGTTGGATGGGGAAGTACAGAGATTACCAAGTGAATCACTTAAATGTACTCAGAGATAATGATTAGACAAGAAGGCATCAATCGAAGTAATCTCATCGAACTTGTCCACGCCTAACTTGCAAAGATATGAATAAACATACTGGTGGCTTTCTATACTATGCCTCGTGGGTAGTCGTTAGTTGCGGTGTCCATTCAGTTATTATGCCATTCATCTCTACACGCGACTAAATTGTTGCTGTTTCGCTCGACTGCTGAGTGCATGTATAGAGGTTTGCCCTTGGAAGTTGTAGTGTATTTTGTATTCACTAAAGCGCGCTAAACGCGTGAGCAATATCACCACAACCTACACTCGCTATTTGCATATAATTATGTAGGGTTCGATCAAATGGCGTTATTTGCAATTTAGTTCTCTCGGAGTTTTCTTACCCAACTAATTTAAGTATCAAGAGAAATAAAGTTCCCAAATACAAGATCAACTTGTTGTGTTAAATATTAGAATTTAGGTTATGACGGTCAACCCCGTCATTAAATTAACTAGGCCTTTGCTCTTGTATATTTAATCCAATCAATAGTTTCAATAGATTATAAATCATTATCTAATATATTGGTTTATATAAGGTAAAAACAATAGTAATGGCGGTTCTCTACAAGCAGAAAGCTGAGTTTTCACGTCTTAAACACTCGTCCAGCCAGTGTTTAAAAGGCATGGAGGGGAAGGTGCACTCTCGAATGCTATATAGACTTGACAATTGGTGAAGAAATTTTTTTCAAAAGTATTTTCAAAAAATCGCCACATTCACTTAGGTTCTAACCTAATATTTGCTTGAATTATTTTATTATAAAATCGACTGAGCGCGTGTGTGATAAAAACTGTCGATTAGTACGCGAATGACTGGACGAGTTAGACCAACGACAGGAGTCGTGTAATTAACATGATAGAATTGAAACCAGGCTATTTGTTCATAATAAAACTTGGCAGTTTACGGCTTTATATTTTTGAATTTATTAGATAGGAAGCTTTGGTTTCCTTACACCGTCATACGTTCTAAACAAATTGTCCATTCTCCCTAATCATTTGAAGTTCTTTTTCCCTATTTCCTAGTACAATTTAATCGATTTATTTCTACCATAATACCTACCACAAACATTCAAACAAAGAAGTTCAGCTAACTTAAAAAGTAAAGTGGAATAAACGTGTTTCGACGCTCGGCTTGCTGTAATATGGAATAACCGTCCATCACTTTTAAAAGCAACTTCCTTCGCTCTACTCAGCGATGGTGATTTTATCTTAAACAGATGGTACGATCGTGCGACATCACTGAGAAGCTTTTGCATTACAGACTTCTTCCGCATAGTCACTCATATACTGCAACGGTTGATGTGGCCACCAAATGAATTGTTTTGGAAACGATCGTAGAGTTTACTATTCTTCAGTCATTTCCTAAGAGTTCGTTTTTGAGGATACTCATACTATTAGTAACTTTAGACTCTTTTTTATCATTATTTTATATATTTTTTGTATATCTTTTATTTATATTGTTTTATATATTTATTATCATTATTTAAGAGCATTATTTTGCCTCGCCATAGATGTGTAAATACATAATATGAAAATTTATTTGCCAAGTAATGACAAGTCATATAGAGCTACCCTATATGAGACTGTTTGTTAATAAGGTAAAGACACATAATACGGGTACCGAGTACCTCTGAAGCACTTTTTGGGTACAAAAATAGCTTAAAAACCTGTATATAAGTACACATAGGAACTCCCGCAGGGGTACTCTTGCATCAGATTTCGCTGTATCAGCCTAACCTCAGTGACCTATACGCTTTTCATACAGTTCGCAGAAGCCGCAAATAGGGCAACGACTTAAGATGCTTGGTTTGTTTTTTAAAATCATATTTTTGGAGGCATGCTTAGAATTTTTCCGCGATGGCAACGGTCAGAAAAATGGAAATAGAATCTGCGTCAAACCTGGAGTACGTTCAGCGAGTTTACCAGAGGAAAGTACTTGCTAGATTGTAACCCACGTAACTTCGAGTACCTTGTCTTAGCTTTCTTGAGAACACTTGTAAATCATCTCTAGGTACTCAACGGGCTCTGATAACAACAAACAATAAAAAATATTTAGAACTAGCTGTAAGGTGGGTATCCATACAAACACATACAACATATGCACACACTGTGTGAAATGAAAATAATGCCGTGTAAACATTACTCTTTGAATAATACGTTAGGGTATGGGCGTAATACATTAGTCTGACATTCTAAAAAAAAACTTAGTACGACATTTTGAAAGATCAGCATTCTAGTACTTGTTTACTTGCACCGGTTGCTAATAGCTCGTGCTCCTGACAAGCATTTAGGACAGTCAATATCGTCATAAGTACGCAAAAAAATCATTGGTAGTATACTCCTAAGTTTGTTTTCGAAATAGGTCACACAATTCTGTACTAGTACGAGCAAATTCCGTATTGTAAAATTACATTATCTTCGCGTCGCAGCCGTACAAACACGCCCGACCTTTTCTCAGGATGAAAATCAAGTTACTTGTCCTGCGCGTTGGGTTATGACTGAAGCCTGCTAACCTAAAGTGGAGCCTTCATTCCTTTGTTTCGTTCGTTTTGCTCGTGCCGGGCAGCACCCAGACAAGAGAATAGGAAAGGGCCATTCAGAATGGGGAAAGGCGATGGCGGCGGAGCGGTAACGGGCGCCCAGAGGAGCACACGGGTGAGTGAGATTGCCTTGGCGAATGGAACGAGCGGTCGAGTGTGAGCTACCAATCAAGCGAGCCAGGACAAGTAAGAAACAGTGAAGAATGCCTGCCGATATGCGTTTGTGTATGGTTGCGGTAAGCCAATAGCAGCCTATAAGAGTCGCCTAGTAGATGCAGACAGAGCCGCTGTAGTAGCAACAGTAGCCGCAAAGTCGTCACCGTAGCGTTGTATGCAGTTGTGTTTATTATTGGTTTGTTGGTCGGTTGCGCTTCTGTTTGAAACGGCAACGACTTCAACGGTCAGTGGCAATCGTCACCAACTGTCTGTAGCCTAGAGCAACGACGAGTAAAGTGAGTGGTGGCTAAGCTATAAGCACATGACCTACAACAGCCATTTCTGACACTACCTTTTTTTCTGATTGTCGTTAGCACTGCTGCTGGTGCTAGTATAGAGTTTCTTATCATAGTGTGCTGTGCCACCGTGCTAGTCTTGCAGTGCCTTGAAGTAACGTACGTAGGGGGAAGGCACGAAGGTGGTAAAACGTGTCCGGGTGAAAAGCAGCACGCTTTTTCAAATATCAAAAAAATCCCTTGCTAGTAGTGTAGAACCAATATCAATAACAAGAATAGCAAGCACAAGCGTGGTTTGTGACCGCGTATTTCGACAACGTTCGACGTAACTGCGGAAAGCAGTTCAGCAGCCGTGATGGCTCTGAGAGGTTGTTATGTGTGTCTGAAATACCTTATGGTTGTGTTTAACCTACTATATTGGCTACTTGGAGTATCTGTCATTGTAGTAGCTGTTATCTGTCTTACGCATGGCGATGAATACCTCGTCCATCAAGGTAAGTAAAAAGTAAAAGTATATCAACCAGTTTCCTAAATTAACTGAGATTAACTATGCGCAAATAGACTAATTTAGCAGATTTCAGGCGCGGTTCTGTGGAAAAGCGTAGTCAACATCGAAATTCACGTCTTGCTTCTAGCTGTTGTTTCCGCTGGTCCGTCCTGGACTAGCAGGCTGTTGCCCCATACGTGTTGCGCACTCGTTTCGTGGCGTAGAAGCCACCACTGTTCAAATTATATCGGATCAATGAACAACTACTGCTTTACGGAATAGAAAAAAGCATGAGAATAAATGCGGAAGAAGTTGAATCTAAAAGATTAGTTAAAGTATAATAAAGCCAGATAAAGGTATTTAAATAAATAAGAAGGCACAGTAGTGCACGCGGAGCACTGATAGCACGCTAAAAATAGATGGTCTCTATATAAAGTGCTTGCCCCCAAATGACTGAAAAAAAAAAGCCGAACGTGGTGGCGGGCGATACTTTTCAGGCTACAACCCTCTGTATGCATTGTATCCATCTTTCACATGTGTTTCTCGTCAAATGCGTCTGAACTCTCCAACTATTTGATATTCTCGTTTAAAACCTAACGGTCAATTCTTATGCATTGGGTGGTAGCGAACTCTGCCAATTTAGATGGCAGATCTTTATGTCTCATAAATGCACATGTTAGTTTAAGTTAGTAATATTGTTTTATACATTTCACGTGTTAAAGAGACCAAATTTATTTCGGAAAGATGTTTTCGATCGAAATAGTTCACTTACTATGACCAACTGTTAAGCGCATTTAACTTCGCCAGAAGAAAATTTATTTACTAGTCCAAGGGGAAGAATGGAGAAATAAAATGAGGAGTTCAAGTAATAATAGGTACAATCCGAAACATACAATATGAAGTAGGAACAGAATGTGATAAAGAAATTAAATAAAAAGACGAATTTATTATGAATATACATCAGCATGGAAAACTTATGCTGAATGGTTGTGTATCTGTTGTAGTACTTAGTAAACATTGACTACAAAAGTAGGTACGTCTTTACAAATTATTCTCTTACACTTTTTTTCCATATATATTATCGCTCTCTAGATAAATGCGAAAAACCCAATTATAGAATGGAGCTTTTGCGTTTCTCTCAGAAACTGTCAGACTTGCCAGATGTAATTTGACGGCAACCTAGAAGTGCATCTACTTGTATACTTCAATATTGCTACAGTTTAATAGTAAGTAGCGGTGTATTCGGAATCTACATACTGTTTGTGTAGTTATCCTCTGCGGTAGAAATCTCCATACAAAACAAAAAACATTGTCACTATTTATTGCACAAGTTAATAGCACATGACTAAGTTAAGATATTTTGGAATCTTTGGCCAATGGTTGACCACAGTTACCTTAAAATGTGCTTACCATGGATCTTTCACTACACCTTAACTTAAGCATAGCTGTTCTCATGCTAGAAAATGCTATAGGCATGCGTATCAAAATGTACAGCGGTTTTATTGATTTCATTATGAAAAATATCTGTTTAATAATTTATTCTTTAGCCATTATTTGCGTGCTAGATAAGCATACGAAAATTAAATCCATGATATCTCATGAAAACAAAAAGTGAAACACCAAATATTTTATAAAATGTAGAAATGTCTTCGAATGGTAGGTATGTTAAACAGAACAATTAAAAGCGTATTGAAATTATACCGCCTCTTTACTAAAAGGTATAATGGTGAAGCTATTTACCATATAAAAAAGGGCCAAAAAAACATTCGGAAAAAACATTTATTGAATAAATACGGGTATACAGTGGTATGAGTTATGGGTAAGTATGGCAAGGGCTATTGAGTGCACCGATAATAAAAGTTCTGCAGTGAGCACACATTGTGATCACTTCCAACAACTGAGAAAATTATTTGAAAATAAAGAGTCAAAAAAATATCTCCAATTAGAAATAACAGTATTTTTGCATTAAATTAAGGAATTTACGATGTGATTCTGCTTGTCAGAAAGTTTGGAAAACAGAAAAAAGCAAAGCAGCAGTTATGCATTACTTGACACAGTATAACAAGGCAAAATGTAAGCTACACGAGGAGATCGTCCTAAGCGTAATTGAATTGGCGAATCGTAAACCATCAGAACAGTGTTCCCGTAAAGTGCAAGTAAAGCTATATAAAATTATCAGTAGTAGGTTAAATGTTTTAGGTGTACGATCGGCCATTATTATATTGCTGTCTAAAAGATCAGTTTTCCGTCAATCTTGCTACGTCATGCTGACTTAGTTGTAACATGATTTGGAAGCATAACTCGAAGTATCAAAGAAATAATTCTGTGTGGAACTAAAAGTAGTATGCTGCTCTATCGTGCGTGTTGTCGGATAATGGAGCGTAAGCTGAAAATAACATAATCATCGTAATACCGATTCACATATAAAACAATCAATGGGGTGCTTAAATTAGATAAATGAATCAGCGCTAACCATACTACTACAATGTTAGAAACCATTAATAGATAGGCTGACTTGAGAACAAGTTAATATTTAATAAATACATAATAATCTCTTTAAAAAAAACTGGCTTAAGGTGGCCTTGGAGTAAACCCATGTGACGGCTGGAGCTTTGAGTAATACTTTGACTCATTTCCCCATTGGGTGCCATATGACGTCATCGTAGTTAGCACAGGACGATGCATTAGCTGGTGTGAACATTACAACGTCGAGTCACATATGGAGGAATTCATGGGCTAATTTTAGCGGTGGCTAATACGTTAATAAAAAAGAACCAACAAGACGAACTGTACGATAGAAAAAATATATAAATGTTAATAGTAAAAAAGATAGGATGCTTGAACTAATGCTGTAAAAAAAGTTGTGAGTGATATAGTACTGCATTGTGGCCTACTTTGTCGTCATTGCCATAAAGTAGCCATGCGTTTTTCCACATATGTTACATCACCTTGTACTACGATTAAGCGTACAAAAATAGCTCTTTAAATGTAAAATGTGTCTATCTACTGGTTGCGTGTACTTCACTAAAATAGCATGCAGCTTATTAAATAAATAAGCTTTGGAATCCTTAGCCTTTGGCTACGCGTGCCTGGTGCTATTGACGTTACTATTACTACTATTTTTTTCTCAAACATTACGTTATTTAGAGAGTTACTGCGATTCCGAATTTCGTGCAGAAGTTAATCACCTAAAAAACCTAAGTTAAACTATTCGTTTTTGAATATAAACGCACGAGCCGTGTCTCCATATAATTTTAAACCTAAAGAGAAGCGTACACAAGGTGTTTGTCTATTTTCCGTAAGATGAATACTGAGCAGCAGAAAGGCTGCATGATGTTTAGCTTTAAAAACGAAATTAAGCATAGTCAAGTTGTGGAAAATGTTACAAATAGCGATCTAAGCAATGCGTAAAGACTAGTTTTTGAGACTGATAGTGTATTTCGAGATTGCCGAGAAAACAACGATTTCATCCTTACATAAAATGCCCTTAGAAATAAGGTGGAAATGTTTGTCAATACGATGACGTTTTTGCCAATTTGTTTTTCTCTCTTCCAGGTCGTTTTATAGCTTTAAACGGACTACCTGTAGAGCTTTAGCAAGGCGGCCCGTATTTGCTCCTAATTTGATGCCAAACATTTCGACCTGTCTTGTTCGAACGTTTATTTGTGTAAACAAATTGAAACACATGAGGTAGTATGTCACACGCAAAGAAAAATTGCTTACCACTTAGAAGTTTAATAAGTGCAAGTTCACAAGTTGTGAAGAAAGAAGCGGGCGGTGTGCGTATGTATAACTCGACAGTTACATAGATATTATCTAAATGATTAAACAAATAGATCTTGATTTATAGACAACTTGAAATTACTTTTTGAGCAGCGTGGTAGTCAGCTTTGGTTAGTTTAATGCCCAGTTTGGCGGATCCGATTCTTGCGAGAGGGAGTGTCATCGTTACCCGTAGGGTTGCAGCTTGCGTGCAATAATATAATATAGTGCAACAATAGTTAAAAAAAGATAGCGATTTTATTTGATCTCGTCAGTACTCGGAACAGCACACGACCGATATGCATCATGTTTAATGTCCGTAAGCACGTGCTGGCCTTATTCTTCCCATAATAGCGTCTGGTAGATCGGCTTTTGATTTTCTTTAAATTGTCAGATGCTACTCTAAAGCAGTTCATTGTTTACACTAAGTAGGCAGTTATTATAATTAAGGTAATCTATTTCCAGCATTAGATGAGGTTCTTCTAGTTTGACGTTAAAACAATTAAATTAATATTTGACATTAAAAGTTTCCTATTGCATAGCTGTTGTCTCTAGCATTTTTATAAGCAGCCTCGTACTTATTAAAATAATTTATGATTTATTAAAGTTATGGATTGTTTTTGTCAATGATTATATAAATCTACGTGTAATCACTACGTATATGCCTATGCATTTGTGTATCTATATATAAAGATGAAAAAGGTATACACAAGGTGAGTGGGAACAAAAACAAAATAAAAAATATAAAAACTACAAAATACAATTTTAAAAAATTGTATTTTAGAGAGCCTAGTTGAACAAGGGACATTTATAAGGCATAGGAATTGAGATGGCTTCATATGACTTGTTGTCTTATCTAGGTTGGGATTTTATTCCTAAAGATGGTAAAGTCTCTGTAATAAAACACAGTCAAAAAGAAGATGGGCCTTAGAGTTATTGACAGTCCCATCATAATGTCTGAATACAAATATGTATTTCCACAATTAGCTTTTGCATATTCTATAGAAATACTTAGTTTTGCAGCGCGTCTCTGATAAAATTCTATTTACAGGGTAGCTTCAATTGTTCGTTTATTAGGATATAATATAATGTAGGATGATGTCCTATATTACGGTTATAAATATGAGCTTGTAGCAACGAAATTTAATTTTGCTCGGTTATTCAAGCAAAAGAGATCCAGACTAAAAAGGAGAAAAGATCTGAAGTCAGCGTACCTGAAGCACTAGAAACCCGCGGTCGCTACTA